AGTCGTGCTCCTGGTACACATGCATGGCAGGCCGGCAGGGAGATGCAGGTCGAAAGTACTCGCATTTGACATGGTCTTGATAACGAGTTCACCGGTTTCAATGATTTCCCTTCTACGGAGCAGCTTCAAACACACGGAGCAAACTATGTGCAACCGCAAGGTAGTACCTTGGGCACTCGTACATAGCTAATGTCCGAGGCATCCTTGAGCAACACTGTCTGGGGGCTTGATTCATGTTCCCAGCAGGGCTGGATGTCCGGGGGGTTTGACAGCAGCGAGCCGCGTGCGAATGGAGGACGAAAAAAGACGATTATCCGAAGGCGGGGGAGATGAGATATCATTTGGGTAGTATGGCCAGGTGTTGCGGATAATAGTAATAGTTCGTGCGCGTACAAGCAGCAGTATGATGCTGGCAGCTCGCGTGGAAATGGGTCTTGTCAGTTTGGCATGTCTGCAGCTGTCGAGAAGATGCGGTTTCTGATGAGTATCAGACATGCTGTCGAGTGAACAGGGTGATGACGCCCGTGCGGTTGAGCCCCAGGGCGGAAAGACAAGGAACAGGCTGCCTGCTTAAGGTACTACTCGTACTATCTCATGCTAGATGTACAGACCATGTAGCTCCTATGCCCACCTTACTAAGGTTAATGGACGATGTGAGATGCTTGTTGTTTTGAACGACGCGCGAGACAGGTCGGAGGAGGCTCGTGCTGATGCTCATACGATGACCTGGAGACTCGTTGGTGCCAAAGGCTTGGGTGGACTCGAAAGTGCTGCCAAGCACCCTCTGCGATTGGGTACCAACGACAGACAGGCACACAGGTTGGGACCACAGCAAGCAAGGCTCTCGGGCTCCCAAGGCTCCCCGGGTACGGTATTACATCAAGGATTGCTTTCTCTTCTCAATAAAAGCGTGCCGGGATGGCGTTCCACTTGCATGCGCGGGCCAGAGCAGATGACGCCGGGCTGCAGATGACTGCTGATGGCCGCTGCTGCAAGCTTTGAGACTGTGGCCAAGAGCTGGTACGAAGCATCCAGTAAGAACACGTGCCTCGTCTCAACAAGGCATGGGCCACGGGCCTGCTCTATTTTCAGGGTTCGCCCATGACCCCGGCCTGTTGCTGCACCATGTATCGTACAGGTACGGAGCACTACAAGAGCGAACCCAGCCGCAGCTCGGCTATGCACCGTGTAGGCTTTGTTCGACGTCATGGCCGGACGCGGGTAGGTAGAGAGAACGTACAGGATACATACATGATGATCATGCACGGGGTTGCAGAGTACTCGTACAAGGACAAAGACTCGATGGCTCGGCAGTGGCAAGCAACGTCGTCGCGGTCGGGCGCTGGTTGCCAGGACGAGCAAGCGGCTCCGTGCCGCCACGGACGGACGGACAATGGCCGGGAACAACGAACAAAGAGAGAAAGGAGCCGGAACAAGACAAGCCCAGCCTGAGCCCAAACAGCGACCGGCGCTAGCAGGCATCAACAAAGAAGCAGGCGAAGGCAAAGAGGAAGACGAGATGGAACGGCAACAACAGAGGTAGAAAAAAGAAATAAGAAAAAAAAAAACAGAAACAGAAAAAGAAAAAGCGCCACAGTGGCCCGAGCGTCGCCGCATGGGCCGCAGGCCAATCAAGGCGCGCGCACACCACGCCAGCCACTGGCCAGGCCCCGCCCTAGGGCTGAATCAGCCAGTCACAGGTGTTAAAAGCGCCCTGGCCCCCCCGCCCCTCAAATCATATCTTCGCATTTTCCCTCGTCCTCTTTCGCGAAGCCTTGCCCATTCTCTCCCCCTCAACCAATCATCCCGCCGTTGCGCGCCCTGCCGCCCTGCCCTGTCCAACGAACGAGCAGCGCAATCCAGAGGGCGAAAAAAGGGCCCTTCCCGCGCTCACGCGTGCAATCAGATTCGTCCGCAAGGGAGCAAACGAAACAATCACGCTGCCTCGTCGCTGGCCATTCACAGCGACTCGACTATCTTCGTCCCGATCCGCTTGGCCCCAAAGCCGCGCGCCAGTCGCCGCAGCGTTCAAAGGAGAAAAGGGAAAAGAGCTCGAAGCTCACGCCGATTTCGCGCCGGGATTCTGATTTTTCAGTGGACGAAAGCTTCTGCACCGTCGGAGCTCGAGCTTTTTTTCTGAGCTGTTATTTTCAGCTACCCAGTTTTTTTTCCTGTGCAGGCTGAGAGAGCTTGCTCCCCTACTACTACCTCCCCCGGCTCTACCTACATACACGATCCTGCTGCCATATCCCGGCAAAAAGACAACGAAACCCAAGCTGTGGAATTGTTGTTCCCTTGGCCGCCTCTTGCATTGCATTGCATCATTCTCAACAATTCATCTCTTGTCCTTCTCCCGCATTCTTATACATTCTCCGTCGTCCCTCACATTGCCGCCCTCGGACGCTCGGAGCCCCTCAGTCTCGGCTCAAGCGCCACCTCGCCCGAAGCAGCGCATCGCACCAGCATCGCGCAGCGCAAAGCATTCGCATCCATCCATCCGCAGCGAGAAGCCTCCATCCACAGCTTCCGCCGCTTTCCCCCACTCTTCTCTCGGCTCGCTGCGACGTCAGAGCCAACAAGAGCAGGGCTTGTACATGCTCGTACAGGCACCCACCGGCTCACCTAAAAATTCAGCCTGCCCGCCAGCAAATCAGCGTTCCGCGACGGCGTAGCTGCTCCTCATCCATCTCGCCCGCCCGCAACACAAGAGACCTATCATCGTCGCCAGCCTCAACCTCGCCCTCTCCATTGGCGCAACACGCCATCAGGTGACAGCGCGCATCTGCAGTGCCCATTTCGCTATTGCCCGCTTCAATCAAACGCTCTGCACGCCGCTGTCGATTTCCAGGAGCTGGGGACTGAAAGCCAGAGCAGAGCAGACCAAAGCTTATAGCCGCCACTGCCAATCACTGCCCGGGTAGTACCTCAGACAGACGGAAGCCTGGTTTTAGCATCAGGCACATCTACGCGCTCTCCTTGCATCCAAGTTGTATAAGAGGTACGTACCGAGCATTTCTTGGAGTTTTGATTTGTTTCTTTTTATTGCCTTGATGCCGTCATCGTCAACGTCCATCCTGTCTGTCTGCATGTGCAGAGAGAGAGAGAGAGAGAGACACCTGCTCCCCAGCTCATTCCTTCTGATTCTTCCTGTTGATTCTTCACGCTCTTCATCTATTCAAAACCCTCCTTTCTTTGTGTGCCACGCGGTTCGTCCAGTCGGAATCCGAGTTGCATGTCTTTGTCGAGTACTTCTTCTTTGCTCTTCCCTGCCTCGTCTTTTGTATTGGCCCCCCCCTCTCTCAGGTCTCATTACTCGTTGAGAAGCTCCCCTCGTTTCACGACCATCTTGTTTGAATCTATTTCCGCTCTCGCACAAGATCCTCCTCAAGGCATATACGAAGCCTTGTCGCCCACGCATTCGTTTACACCGACCCGTTCCTCCTACTCGCTCAGCCCAGCCAAGCCCAGCCCACCACAGACTCACAGCCTGTATTCTCACAGCCTCTTTTCCTGGTTCTGCACTCAAGCAGCTGTTACATCACTTCTGCCCCTCTACGGAGTACCGCCAGGGCTGAGTATGTCCGGCCAAGTTTGCCTTTCCTTGTCCTTCTCCCTCTACACTCTCTTCCCAAATTCTACCAGGTCGTCACATGTTGAGCTGAGCTACGCTAGACGCTGGTTCTGGCAAGCTCGAGTTCGACCTGCCCCATTGCCTCACTCGCTTCTCCCGTCCCGTCCCTCCCTCCCGCACACGGTTTGCCAACCTCGGCCATAACGTCTGTCTTCTCTGACCGGACACGGCCAACACCCACCACCAAGCCCAGCCTGATCCCCCACCCTCGTGGCGTGTCCGGGTCTCCATGCCCAACCCTCTGCCCTGCCATCCGGACGGGATGAGGCAATCGACATGCCTTGGCTGCGATGCCTCGAGACTGCTCTGCACACTGCGTCGCGTTAGGAGATGCGAATCTCGTGGCGCTTATCTGGATCGGCACGGCCTCGTCGGCCTCCAGTCGACGACGTCGCCTTGGGCTCTCATTTGCCTCTGGCAGACTTGTGTGCCGACGTGTCGGCAGCAGTTGGGGGCTTTGTTGCGGGCCCCCCGTAGGCCTTGGTGGATCTGGCTGCATATTCCGTCATGCATGAGCTACAACTATGCCAACGCATCACAAGTGTGGCTCCCTGGCGCAGTGGCTCGCACCCCTGTCTCGTCTCCATCCTTGCCTGGAGACCTCTGGCCGTCTCACCATTCGCAGCACGTCGCCTACTATATACAACTGAGCTAACGCCTGTGGTTGGATAGATCTCTGTTAATCCTCGATTGAGACGCTCTGGGGAAGTGGAAAGCTCTGTTTCGTCCGCATCTCTGCATCGCGTGCCGCCTGTACCTTGTCGCAACGACGCTGGAACAAGGCTCTTGTTCTCTCCTCCTCTTGACGCTTTCCGCTTCACGTGGGCTCTATCCCGCCCGGCAACTCAGCCACCCTCTACAGCGGCCTGCAGACGTCGTGCGGCTTTGTGAGCCACGTACCTTGGCACCATCCCACCAGCCTGCCAGCTCACCCACGCATGTCTGCTTGACTTTGGGTGCCTGAACATTGCACGCATTTCTCTTGCGATTACCCAAGCATCGAATCGCTGCCGGCTTCCCAACCGGACGTGCCCAACCCATACCCAAGCATTTTAACCCTCACCAAAACAGGATCGAGAGATCACCGAGCAAGAAGGAAGAGCAAGCAATCAAGGCACGATCAAACACGAACTATCGTCCTAGCACGGGTTTTGGTTCCTTCATCCAACTCTCAACCGTTCGGCCTCACCACCACAGCTGCTCGCTGTAAGCAAGTCCGCCTAGCGTTGCGCTGTTGATATTATTCGCCCCAGCGTTCTCCTAGCCTCGGGCCTGGGATTTGTGATAGGACCAGCCGGATAGCGCAACCCCACATTTCGGCTCGCGACATATTCGCGACACCAGCTTTGGTCCTTGTTCTTTCTGTAGGATGATGGAATACGCGCAATATCCGCAGCAGCAACACAATTCTCACGCAGGTTACGCGAACTCTGCCGCCGGCGCAAGTATCACATCGCCCACCAGCCACGGCATCAACCAGCACGCCGTGCAATCGTCGCCCATAACCGCATCGCAGCAACAACAGCAGCAGCAACAACAACAACAACAACAACAACAGCAACAGCAACAACAGCAGCAGCAGCAGCAGCAGTCCCAGCAGCAACATCCGCCTGCTCAGGCCCCAGCTCACGGCATGTATCAACCACAGTACGGCGTGCCCCAGCCCAGCATGCAGCCGGTGCCGTATGGCATCCCCGGCATCCAAGCTGCGGCAATGGCCGCCACGGCCGCCGCCTCAGGGTCCGGCTACCCTTACATGCACTCGGATCCAAGCATGCCTCACACGTCGCCGCGGATGCCTAGCGCTAAGAAGGATGGCCGACCGTCTCCCCGCATGAACAGCATTTCTCAGATCCCCGGCCGCCGCATGAGCCAAGTTACCAGCCCCGGCGTGCCGAGTGCCCCCGGCATGATGAACCACGGCGGACCCCGGCCCCCGCCCATGCCTCCCGCCCCTGCCATGCAGCACCCACAATCGCCAGAGATGCCCGCCGGCGCAGTCGAAGAGTCACCCCTGTACGTCAATGCGAAGCAGTTCCACCGAATTCTCAAGCGACGCGTCGCTCGCCAGCGCCTCGAAGAGCAGCTGCGGTTGACGTCCAAGGGGCGAAAGCCCTACCTCCACGAGTCCAGACACAACCATGCTATGCGCAGGCCTCGTGGACCCGGCGGTCGATTTTTGACAGCGGAGGAGGTGGCGGCCATGGAATCCAAGGGAGGGCTAGACGGCAAGGGTGAGGGTTCGGACGATGTCTCACCCGGGAAGTCCTCGGATGCCCCGAGCGGGAAGCGCAAGTCTGAATCTGGCCCCTCGACGTCCAGCAAGAAGCCCAAAACCCAAACCGACAATGGCGAAGGAAATGCAGAAGACGACAGTTAATAACTGATTGGGCCTTTTTTTAAATACCTTTCTCCTCTTCTGCTTCTTCTCCACTCACTTACTCGAGCATCGCCGACCACTGTTGGTACTGCAAATGGGCATTCTTTTTCTCATTTTTCTTTTCTTTTACTATTATGAGGACATGATGACAGGGACCTTGGAGACGGACGCGTCTTTGCTATCATGCTCAGTCGAAGGCATCGAACGGGACGGGGAGTTTTCTTTTTGACGTTTTTATTTAACGGCCGGCAATTGGCGTGTGATATTCTCCGCATTCCCCCGATCTGCGAACCTCAGCATGTCCCGCGACCTCTGCGACGCTTCCACCACACTGTTGTGAAGGATGGATCCGTCTTGGCCTGGAGACGAGCTGACTCTCCTCACGGCCGGATACGAGATATCACAACGGCCGGAAAGGGGGGAAACTGGTTGGGCGGGTAGAATGTATGGATGACTCGACACGATGGATACCCCTTACTGTTTTCTTCTCGCCACACACTTTTTTTTTCTTTTCTTATGTCTATTACCTTTCTCTCTCTACATTGTGGAACGTTTGAAAGAGCTGAAACTTGGAGGAAATTGGTCTGGCTACCATGAAGATGCATCAGGGCAGTATGTCATTTTGTGTTTGCTTCTCTTCACCTTTTACATTTTCTTCTTCTTTCCTCTTCTTCTTTCTTCTTCTTTTCACCATTTTATCATTTTCTTCTCTTCTTCCTCTTCTTTTTTTTTATTGCATCAGCTGGAATAACATAACCCACAAAGCATAAAAAAAAAGAGCGGGAATAGGTCAAACAAAGAAGCAACTAAAAAACAGGTACGCTGTGTGCAGGACACAGTTAGATATCAGCATGTTTGAAACAACGAGGGAGCGAAGAGTGTCTGGACACTTGGGTATTGGAGGAGTTGACCGAGTACTTTTGTGGGTTGTGGAAATAGAGGTGAGGGTGGTGGTCCGTCACCGGATATAGCCTGGGCTTTCCTAGCATTTGAAATTGATATCATTCGATATGCAGCAGTATAAAGTATATTTGCAGAGACGGGACACCTGTATTATGCGTGAATACATACCTATGCAGCCTGTGTCTTGTGATTGTAAGGCCAGCGAGTTGTGCTGTATTGAGCTGCAGTTGAAGAATTGATGATTGGTGTAGTCTTGGTCGAGACTGCGACGGGAAACACTTGCCTGCAAGCCTTAAACGACGAGGTTTCTTTGTAGCTACTTTACAACTTCCAAGGTACCTTGCTTGCCCTTCCACTTGTCTGGACCCGTGGAGTTGTCGACCATTTTTTGCCTGTTTGGGCGAACGTTGCTCATCCAGCCAGTAATAGACGTTCAACCTGGACTTACACGCCGTCCAATGAGGAGGAAACAAACGCAAGACTGCCCTGGTAGCAATAGAGGATCTGGGCAAGGGAGGTGGGAGGGGAAATAGAAGGGGGAAAAGCTGGGCAACCTCGGGGGAGTCCGTGTGTGGCTGGAAAAAATAAAGTCTGGGGTCGCGCGGGTGCTGGAGCCGCCAAACCGCCGAGCCTCGGTATGTCAGACTTGCTGGAGCGGCACTGGTCCGTCATCTTTGGGGGGGGAGCACAAAGATGGGAAAGCTGCTCTTCTCTTCTTTTTCCGTGTGTGTTTCTCTTCCCCCCTTCACTGCTTTCTTGCTTATGGCTTTGGATATGCGGTTAGAGTAGATTGACTGCTACAGCTTCACTTGTTTTTTGCCCTTTTCTGTTCGGATTACTGCTATTTGGACGCTGGCGACGGAGTGACGCACGCGCGTTGGACAAGCCGATTGGCGATAAGAAGGCTCGACATCATCGACGTTCACGATGGCGGGCGCGGTGCGACAGCCTATCGACGAAAAGGCATTGGCCAAGTACATTGACGACAATGTGCCGGTCATCAAGACGCCAATTGATCTGAAGCAGGTTCGTCTTCGTCTGCCTCGATTGTTCATGAACAAGAAGAGGAGAAGACGCACAGCTAACCAGTGAGCTCGGCTTGCTTGCAGTTCGGCTTTGGCCAATCCAACCCAACATACCAAATCACCGACGCCACAGGCCAGCGCTACGTCCTGCGCAAGAAGCCGCCCGGAAAACTCCTCTCCAAGACGGCGCACAAGGTGGAGCGCGAGTACCGCGTGCTGCACGCGCTGGAAGCGACGGACGTGGCGGTGCCCAAGACGTTTTGCCTGTGCGAGGACGAGGCCGTGGTCGGGACGCCGTTCTACATCATGGAGTTCCTCGACGGGCGCATCTTTGAGGACTTTTTGATGCCGGGCGTCGGCCCGGAGGAGCGGACGGCGCTGTGGAAGGAGGCGGTGCAGACGCTGGCGAGGCTGCACGCCGTCGACGTGAAGCAGGTCGGGCTGGACAAGTTTGGGCGGGCCGAGGGCTTCTATGCGCGGCAGACGGAGACGTGGGCGACCATCTGCGAGAGCCAGGCCAAGGCTGTGGACGTCGAGACGGGGGAGCCCGTGGGACAGCTGCCGCATTTCGAGGAGCTGGTGGGATTCTTCCGGGACGAGAGGTTGAGGCCCAAGGATCGGGCGACGCTGGTGCATGGGGATTACAAGATTGATAATCTGGTGTTTGATAGGAAGGAGGCGAAGGTGATTGGCATCTTGGAGTGAGTTTTCCTTTTCCCTTTTACTCCTTACACTCCTGGTCATCATCATCGTCGTCTACTTGACCATGGATGAAAGACAGGGCTAACGTGCATTATCAAAAAACCGACAGCTGGGAAATGTCCACCATCGGGCACCCCCTCTCGGACGTTTGCAACTTCATCACGCAGTTCTACCTCGCCCGCTCCCCCGGCGCGTCCGCCTACGCCGACAGCGCCAACTTCCTCCCCGGCAAGACGCCCGGCCTGCCGCAGCCGGACCAGATCGTGCAGTGGTACACCGAGGTGTCGGGGTACGACCCGCGGCCGGAGCTGGGCTGGGGCGCCGCGTTCAACATCTTCAAGCTGGCGGGCGTGTGCCAGGGGATCGCGGCGCGGTATGCGGCGCGGCAGGCGAGCAGCGCCAAGGCGAGGATGTACATCCATACGAGGGTTCCGCTGGCGGAGTTTGCGTGGGAGCTGGCGAGGGAGGCGAGGGATGCGAAGGGCGTGGAGGCGAGGTTGTGATGGAAAGGACATGCCCATGGCTTTGGGTACCGTGCTTCTGACTATGCATGAGGCGGGTTGGCGATGTCTTTTGTCAATGGGTAGCATATCGTCTCTGGATTCAGTGAGATGGATCTCATGCATGAGCTGCCGGCTCACTAGAGCATGTATTGCATTGATTACATGTAACTACTAGCAGCGAATACCTGGTCAATGCAGCTTGCCCCCATCATGAGATTGGGGAACAACAAGAAAAACAGTAGTAAAATAAAGGCTCCGGCGGCAACAAGTAAATCATCCCGGGCATCTTCCTGCATGGTAAGAACAGACTCCATCCAGACTCGGCACCTGATCGATCCACGGCCGTCGGTTCGTCGAATCGAGGCGGTTCGGCCTCGTGGGGGCGCGTCCAATCAGGTGCGTGGCGGTGGTGACTGATTGATGCTGGTGCCCAGCGAGCCGGGATTCGAGGGCGAGTGTCACTGCGTCTTCCAGGAATCTGGTTGCTCTTATTGCTTTCACAGTGGTTCTTCTCTTCAAGCTTGAACCTGTATATCAATTAGAATGGTCCAGAGGAATTTCCTTGCTCTTGGCCTTATGGGATGACCATTGCATTACCTAAGGTACTTCATACATCAACCCTCCCCGGGCACCAGCACCTCCGAGTCTTCTCTACCCCAGAGGTACCCCCAGATTGCGCACCAGCCACCATCGTCATCATAAAGCTCCCGCCAAAAAGTCCCCCCCATTCACCCTTCACATCTCCCAACTTCTTCCCAACCTCCTCTTCCTCCTCCTCCCAATTTCCCCTCCAAGCCTCACATGACGGACCGACGCAGACGGATCCGCGTCTCCGAGGATGCGCCCGACGAGCGCCGCCCGCTGCTCAGCAGGCTGTCGACGGAACGGGCCCCCAATGGCGAGCACGTCTTCAGCTGCCGCACGAACCCGCACAGCGACCTGCCCGTGTACACCAACATCCACCGCATCCGGCGCGACATTGTGAGCGTCGTCGAGGACTATCTGACGCTGGAGCAGCTGCGGGACCTCAAGATTAATGTGACGGTGATCCGGCCGCTGGTGGACAAGTTTTACGAGCTGGGCGATGTGTCGATAGGTGCGTGTGTCTTCTGATATCAATCGGCAGGCCTGTCAATGAGACGATGTTGAGAGGATGGAGGGAGAAAGGAAATAGGTATGCTGACATGACGAACAAGTCTACTGCCTCCTCGTCAACAGAGCCCAGTTCCTCGACGAAGAGTCCCGCTCCAGCAACCGCCAAAACGTAAACTGGACGCGCGCCACCCTCTGCGAGCTCATCGCCACCCGCATCCTGCGCCGCTTCGGCGAGGACAACGATGGCGACGCCGACGGCCTGCTGCTGCTGGCGCACATCCTCGTCGCCGGCTTCGAGCCCTTCCAGCACGCGCCCGCCCACGTCCGCGACGAGGTCGAGGACAAGGCCTGGTGGACCTCGCACCGCACCCTGCCCGCCCTCGAGGTCGCCATCCTGACCGAGAGCAGGCACTTTCTCAGCTCGACGACGTGCCAGCGGGTCGTCGCGGCGATTTACGAGGGGAGGGTCATTTACACGCCGTCGACGTCGTGGGACATTATCCCGGACCACTACAAGCTGAAGCCCATTTCGCTGTACGATCCGCGGGAGTCGCCGCTGCTGAACCAGTATCGCCTGATTGTGCCGCGGACGCGCAATTACCTCGAGGCGATTCAGTTTACGATCCTGCTGGGGCTGTATGTTGCTGTCATGGTCATGCGGAGGAAAGGAGAGCTCCCGTATCTGGAGGCGGCGTTTGCGGTTTATGCGTTTGGGTGGTGCTTGGATCAATTTGCGACGATTTTGGCACACGGATGGTAAGAACCCCCTTCAGATTTACTTGGCTTATAGCAAGGTCGGAGTAGGGAGAAAAAGCTGACATGTCGATGATAGGAACGTATACACGCAGAATCTATGGTCCTTTCTCGACGTCACCTTTCTCTTTCTCTTCGTCATCTACAGTGGCCTGCGCCTGTATGGAGTGCGAACGGACTCGCCGGTGCTCGCGGAGCAAGCCTTTGATGTCTTGGCCCTCGCCGCCCCCGTGCTGGTTCCCCGGCTGGCCTTTAACTGGCTGTCCGATAACCTCGTCTTTCTATCGCTGCGGTCCATGATGGCCGATTTTTTCCTCCTAACGGCGCTTTCGGCCTGGTGCTTCTTTGGATTCTTGCTGTCTCTGCTGTGGTTGGGGCAGGGAGCCCATCCGCTGCTGTAAGTTTCCCTCTCGTGGGCTCTCTTATGTGCGAATGCTAATGGCTTGCCTATTACTTGCTCAGTACAATTTCAAAGTGGATGATATACATCTGGTTCGGACTTGACGGGACGGGAATCCACAGATCGGTAAGACTCATCACCCCTTTTTCGTTATATGGCTTGCACTGACACGCTGCATGGATAGGTGGAATTCCACTGGCTCCTGGGACCTGTCGTCATGATCACATTTGCTTTCCTCGGCAACACTCTATTCCTCACCATCCTCGTCTCCATGCTGTCCAATACGTTCAGCAACATCTCCAGCAACGCTGCCGCCGAGATACACTTCCGAAAGGCTGTCCTCACGCTCGAGGGCGTCAAGGCGGACGCTGTCTTTGCCTACCAGCCACCGTTCAACCTGCTTGCCGTATTCCTTCTTTTGCCGCTCAAGTTCGTCGTCAGCCCGCGCTGGTTCCACAAGATCCATGTCGCCACTGTTCGTCTGGTCAACCTCCCCCTGTTGCTGTTGATCGCTGTCGCCGAGCGCCGTCTGCTCTGGCCGGCAAAGACGTTCGAGACGGGCACCGTCGGCTCTCTGGCCCAGAAGTGGTTCTGGCAAAGGTGGCAGCTCTCGGCCTTTCAGTACATCCGCGCGGTATTTGATGTGCCGCCTCCAGATGATGTGCATGACGATATTGCCGTCGACGACGACTTGACGCACCACCTCATTCGGAGGCAGTACGCGCGGCAAGAGACGCACGACACGACGAGAAAGGCTTCGCGCCGAGACTCCATGTTTGAGATACCGCCTAAGCTGCGTGGTTCGCTCACGGAAGCGGGCGAAGGCTTTGACGATATGGCGAGCCGACTGGCAGCCATGGAAAAGTCCATGGCACGGATGGAGGAGATGCTCCTGCGGCTTCTACCGTCGGAGAACGACGAGGCTGACGAGAGTGATACGCTGCCCGAGGGCGATGGCACCACTCTGTCGTCGAACTTCAAGGGGCGAGAAACAAACTTTTGAAGCATAAGGGTTTATGTGAGCGTTTTAGAATAGCGATCTGTGCATGGATATCACGGCATTTAGCATGAGTATTTGGCGTTTTTGGTCTTGTCTGCAATTGAATACGGAGCGCTGCTAGGACTAGGGATGCATATGTTGAGGTTACCCATACAAGCTGCCGTTTGCTTTCGTTACCTATTGTCTCCTCCAATAAATGACGGTTCTGTCATTGCAGTAATCTGTAGTGCATCACGGCGTTTGATGGCTAGGTAGTAGGGTTGATTTGCGTAGGTAAGGATGGACTGACTGATTCACTTCCGGCTGCACACGGTCCGCCCCGTCTTCTCAAGCTTTTAACTTGCTGATTTGTTGTGGAAACGAATTTGTTTTCTTTCACAAGGTATTTCTATCGCCATGGGGCTTGAGTTCCTTGTGCTGTTTGCCCGTTAGGAACCGCTGCTTCCAAACTCTCACAAGCCGAAAACTCAAAAAGCACAGGGACTCAAATCAACCAACTTTGATCGCGCATATAAAATCCTCTGCCAACCTTTCAAACTTCAATATCGCCCCTTCAGCAAGCCAAATAAGAGAAAACAGCCTATCACAGCACACACAAGCAGAGAAGAGAGAGAAGAGGAGAAAGACAACAATGTGCAACGTGACCTTTTTCCAGCACAAGACCTGCAAGCACATCTGGGCCATCCTGTCCCACCCCTGCGGCCCCCTGATGAACTTTTACACGTGCGCCTCCTTCTGCGACGGAGCGGCGGCGGGCGTGAAGACGAAGGCGACGCCGGGGTTCTACAAGACGCAGAGCAGGGCGTGTCCGAGGTGCGACTTGGGCGGCATGTATGATCGCGGGACGGTGAGGATGGTGGAGAGGATGGGATGGGGGTTGCACTGGGGTTTGGATCCGGAGGGCGGGGATTGGGCTGTTGAGGTGAGGATGGGGGAGGCGAGGGGGTGTGTGATTCTGTAAGGGGGGGGGGATTTTTTGTTATGGGGTTCGGGGTTGTGCTTGATGATTGGGGGAGTTGAGACGGGAAAAGTGAAGCTGGAAATGGATGGTGATGGTTGGGGGTTTTGGTGTTTTGGGAGGGGTGGTGCTTTTACTACCTAATCCTGGAGTGGGCTACAAGACTTGGGGCAGGATATGGCGGACTACCTTATGCGTTACGGCTTGATGGCGATTCGTGCATCAGCTAATAAGAACATCTCTTCAATCCCATCATGATAAGATCTATTTCATTTCCCCCTTCAGTCTCTTGAATTTCATACATCTTGACACTCACCTCTCATGACATCACGTGGCCCCACCAATAGCTTCAATTCTATCGAAAAACTTGGTGAAGCTGAAGCTCTCACCATTCAAACAACTCACAACCTCCTACAAGCTCCAATCCCACAACAATACAACAGAAGAGTGACACATACAAAAAAAGAAAAAAAAAAGAAAAAATGCTTCCAACGCCAGACACCTCACACGTGCCCTACGAGCGCGTCTACGAGCCCGCAGAAGACTCGTTCCTCCTCCTCGACACCCTCTCCTCGCCCTCAGAAACGCAGTTCCTCCACGAGACCTTCTCACCCTCCTCTTCTTCTCCTGCTTCGTCTTCGTCTTCGTCTTCGTCTTCGTCTTCGTCTTCGTCATCGTCAAACCCCGGCGGCATCCCGTTCGTCGTCGAGATAGGAACGGGATCGGGCGTGGTCCTGGCCTTCATCACGGCACATGCCAAAACAATCTTTGGCACGAACCAGGTCCTCACGGCGGGAGTCGACATGAACGCCTTTGCGTGCCGCGCGACAATCACCACCGTGGCCAAAGCACAAGCCGATTCTCTTCTCGCCGACAACAACACCGCCAACAGCAGCAGCAGCAGCAGCAGCAGCAGTGAGAGAAGAAGAGAAAAGCAAGTCCCCTATGGAATGTACCTGGGCTCCGTAATGGGCGACCTCGCAAGCCCCCTGAGGAACCACTCCGTCGACGTCCTCGTCTTCAACCCGCCCTACGTGCCGACGTCGGAAATGCCCAGCCGGCCAGAGACCTTTAGAGAAGAAGACTTTCATCATTCATCCTCCCCTTCCTCGGCCTCCTCCAACAAGAAGCAGCCGTCCTTTGACGACGACTCGTACCTGCTGGCGCTGTCGTATGCCGGCGGCGCGGACGGCATGGAGACGACGGACAGGCTGCTTGCGGGGCTGCCCGAGCTTCTCTCGCCGAGGGGCTGCGCGTACGTGCTCCTGTGCGCGCAGAACAAGCCCGAGGCCGTCAAGGAGAGGATACGGGGGATGGAGGCGGGCGGTGGTGGCAGGTGGAGGGCGGAGACGGTTGGGTCGAGTGGGAAGACGGCGGGGTGGGAGAAGTTGCAGATTGTAAGGATATGGCGAGCTTCGGCTTGAAGGGTGCATGTCGGCGTTTGGGTTGATTGAGTCACTCGAGAGGAGCAATGATGGTTGGCGTTCCAGGCGTTATTGAGATCGCTGAGAGAACTAGGTGGGGGGTTGGCATTCCTTCTGCCAACACTGACTTGGGAAGGACCTCGACATCATGATGTGTGTGGGTGGGGGAACAGGTTGATGGGATCGATATCTTGCTGATTTTTAAGGAGATGATTTCGAAGTCACGACACCAACGCCACATGCAAATCTCACATCATGCAAGTATATATCAGTTGGCGAGCCTTTGTGTATTCGGTTTCGGATATCTTGTCATCTTGAAATAGAGTCTTGGTGGCTGCACATCAGAACGGTGCATCTCAGCTCTTCCATCCCTCCCCCTAAGCCAATGCCGTATTTCGTTTTGATTCCATATTGGGCAAAACGCATCCCAAACGCCGTTTCCATCGCAAGTCTGCGACTTCACCTCCGCGAATATCCTTTGACCTCAAAAAATGACGTGCTTTGTTCTGTATCGCGTTACAAGTGATCCCCTTCTACCCACTGATATAGACCATTGGCCTTTTGCTAGCCAGAAATCAGAAGATATAGTGCGCCCTCGGGTTCCCTCGAAACCCCCCTCGTCGTAATCAGTATCGGTCGTCGCGAATTCAGGGACGCTTAGCCACGTCCACGGCCGCGACCACGACCGCGACCTCCCCTACCACGGCCTCCACGACCTCCGCGGCCACCTCTGTCAGCCTCCTTTCTCGCCTTGTTCTTGGGCTTGGGCGCGTCGTCGATGAGCAGGGTGTCCAGCGGGAGGGAGTCGGGGAGGATGAAGTATCGGATTGTTGAGCCGCGGATGTTCATGGTGTCGAGGGCGATGGAGTCTTGGCCGCGAGCCGTCATCTTGACCGTGCGGAGGGCGACGTTCATCTGGGGGGTCACGGACGAGATGGTGCCGTGGGCGATGGTGCCTAATTTTTTGTCGGGTTAGCGAGACAATTTGCTTTCTGGCTTGCTTTTCGCTGCCGAGGGGGGGAAAGAAAAGCTGCCACGAGCTGTATGAACGCCGCGAGGCCACCGGGCAGCTTCTTGCGTTGCTGTTGCACCGTACCATTCTTGAGCTCGATTGTCACCGTCTCGTTGGCGCACTTCATCAGAAATCTGCCATCACGCAGCCGTCAGTATACATCTCGTTCAAGCTTCAAAACGCAAAGCTTCAGCAGGGGGGACGACGGCGAAGCGAATGAGCTGCTCGTCCATCCAACATGTGACTGTGTTCCTTGCGAAACTGTTCGGCTATTGGGGGAATTGCCCACCTGACGAGCTTCATGGCGACGGTCTGAGGCCCTTTCTGGCCAGGTGCGGGATCAATTCAAGGGTTGCTGGCTTGTCTCGTCACGCGCGTTGCCTCGACACACGGTGGTTGTTGCAAGGCTGGGCGGGTTGCCTTGGATTGTCGGTCGGAAAAATAGTTGCCCATTGGATTTAGCTGGGCCGACGACCAACTCAGGTTGGCTGGGGATGCTGGGTGAGCTAAGCAGCACGTGATCATGCTGCTGCTGTGCTTCCAAGGTCAAGATGAGATTAGTCATCTTGCGTGAATGGAAGCGAACTGGCATCGTACTTGTCACCTTCACCCCGCCGTCTCGCTGGCGCAACCTTCAGGTACTGCATACTTCCCAATCGAGACAAAGCGCTTCGTCTCGAGCAAGCGGCCACCAGAAAATTCGTTATCGATAATGCGAGCTCCATCGAGAAGTGGGAAACCCCGGCAAGTCTGCTGGCAGCGGAGTCACTCTCGCAATTCACCCGTTTCCATCTACTTCGTCACAGGCAGATGCAGCCGCTTCAAACCCCTTCACCTCGTCCAGCAGCCGCTCGTTTCCGTCCGTTGCGTACGGGGAGAATGCAGAACCCGCCAACGCCATCGTCTTGCCGTCTTCTCGCTGAACCCATCGTGGCTTGACCATCTCTCCCCGTGCTCAGGACAAGGCGCAACCCGCTGAGACTGCCGAACCAACTGCCCGCCTGCCGTGCTGCTGGGTAGAGAGAGGCGCCGAGCTCTGCGAAAACCCCCACCATCCGTGCGACCAGCGACAGCGACTTTGGGGGGTTTTGACTGACTCTTCATCCGCGATCGGCCTCCTGCGACAACTGGCTGGCAGATCCTAACGCTCCGTCTCGTGGTGTTTGTTCTCGAGGTCGCTCGCAGAGCGCTGAAGCAGACATGATATCAGGGCGAGGGGGAGCGGGGGCTCGAGGGCGCATCCGCCCACCTCGTCGGATCGTGCGTGTAAGTTGTTGCAAGTTCTGAAGCTTCCAATTCTCCCCGGCGCAAGATTCACTCACGGCGCACTTCTCCTACCTTGCTCTTGCCGCTCAACGAACCCTGAGCGCATTGTGAGCGCAACCTGAGCCGTTCCTGAGGCGCATCCTGCTCTGCCACGTCGAAGGCCATCAACGCCAGCTGCTCTCGGTGCCCTGCCCCTCTACACCACTTCCCCTCTGCACTACCTCCGACACTGCTCACTTCCCATGCTCTTCCCCCCCGCATGTGGTACGCCGCGATGGGTTCCAATCAGAGCAAGCAGGTGCCTGAACGTGCGCAGGAGCCCTCTTCCGCATCATTCTACTTCATCCCTAGGGCGCTCAAACCAACTAACCGCCGTTTACAGTCCCAGGCAGCGGGCGAGGGAGCCGATTTCGATGCGTGCTGGAACATGATCAAGGAAGCGCTATACGATATCCACAACAAGAGCTGCGGCCGTCTGTCCTTCGAAGAGCTATACCGAGCAGCCTACAAGATCGTCCTCAAGAAGAAGGGCGAGGTTCTCTACGAGAGAGTCAAAGAATTCGAGGAGCAGTGGTTCGCCGAGCATGCCATCCCCAAGATTGAAGTCCTCGTCACCAAGAGCCTCATCAACATCAGCGTCGATGTCTCGTCGTCGGCCTCGGTCAGCGAGCGGCGCCAGACGGGCGAGAACTTCCTCAAGGGCCTGAGAGATACCTGGGAAGATCACAACATGTCTATGAACATGACCGCAGACATCCTCATGTACCTAGACAGAGGTTACACGCAACAGGAGCCCCGCCGGGTCCCCATCTTTGCCACGACCATTGCCCTATTCCGAGATCACATACTACGCTCATGCCTGAACGCGAATTCTGACAGCACGATTGGCGACATCCTGATATCCGTCATGCTGGACCAGATCGACATGGAGAGGCGCGGAGACATTATTGATCGAAACCTCATTCGCAGCAACACCCGGATGCTCAGTTGTCTCTACGAAACCGAGGATGAATCCGAGAACAACAAGCTCTACGTCACCACCTTTGAGCCCCGGTTCCTCGCCAACAGCGAAATCTTTTATGCGCGAGAATGCGAACGGCTGCTGCGGGAGTCGGACGCCAGCACCTGGTTGCGACACACCGAGACCAGACTCCATGAAGAAACAGACCGGTGCGGCACCACCATTGAGCTGGAGACTCTCCCCAAGGTGACCAAGGTCGTGGAGGAGAAGCTTATTCTTGGTCACCTCGACGACTTCCTTGCCATGGAGGGTAGTGGCCTCCGGTGGATGATCGACAATGACAAGACCCAAGACCTCAGCATCTTGTACAGACTCATCTCGAGAGTGGATGAAGAGAAGACGGCCCTGCGCGACATATTGCAGAAGCGAGTTGTCGAGCTGGGGCTGGAGATTGAGAATGTGCTGAAGAACACCGACTTCTCGACGGCACAGGGCGATGGCGAAGAGGGCGGAGACGGCGAGAAGAGCAAGACGCTGAATCCGGCCGCGCAGCAGACGGCGGCAGCCATCAAGTGGGTTGACGACGTGCTTCGGCTCAAGGACAAGTTCGATTACATGCTCCAGGAATGCTTCCAAGGCGACCGGGTGATTCAGACAGCCCTGACCAAGAGCTTTGCCGAATTCATCAACCTATTCAGCCGAAGCTCGGAATACGTCTCTCTCTATATCGACGATAACCTCAAGCGAGGAATCAGAGGCAAGACGGAAGCCGAGGTGGACGCAATCCTGGAAAAGTCCATCGTCCTGATTCGGTATCTGCAGGACAAGGATCTCTTCCAGACCTACTACCAGCGCCACCTCGGACGACGACTGCTCCATGGCAAGTCGGAGAGCCACGATGTCGAGAAGCAATTCATTTCGCGGATGAAGCAAGAAATGGGACAGCAGTTTACCCTCAAGTTCGAGGGAATGTTCCGAGATCTCGTCACCTCTGCCGAGTTGACATCGACGTATCGCGAGCATGTTCGCAAGCTGGATCCCGAGGACCATACCATTGACCTCAATGTCAATGTCCTCACGACCAATTACTGGCCGTCAGAGGTCATGGGACGTACCGCTCAATCTGGCGATAGTTCCAAAGTGGGATGTACCTGGCCGCCCGAGGTCAAGAGGCTGCAAGCTAGCTTTGAGCAGTTTTACCTGACGAATCGCAACGGTCGGAAGCTCACCTGGATTGGTACCACCGGCAGCGCAGACATCAAGTGTGTGTTCCCAGCGATTGAGGGCAAATCGGGCCCCCTGTCGCGCGAGCGTCGCTACGATCTGAATGTCCCGACATACGGCATGGTGGTCTTGTCGCTGTTCAACGACCTCAAGGACGGCGAGAGCCTCAGCTTTGAAGAGATCCAGGCAAAGACGAGCCTGTCGACGGCGGATCTCACGCGAGCGCTCATGGCCATTGCCGTAGCGCCCAAGTCCCGCGTTCTGGCCAAGGATCCGCCCACCAAGACAGTCAAGCCCGGCGACAGGTTTTCGTTCAACGCCTCGTTCCAGAGCAAGACGATCCGAATTAAGGCACCCATCATCAACGCCGTGTCCAAGGCCGAGAACAAGGAGGAGAGGAAGGCGACGGAGGACAAGAACAACCAGACCCGATCCTACATTATCGACGCCGCCATTGTGAGGATCATGAAGTAAGTTTATCCAGCGTGTCAATGAATCGATTAGTCCCAGCTAACCAACCGTCATTAGGGCACGAAAGGAACTCAGCCACTCGCAGCTGCTGGGCGAAGTGCTGTCGGTGCTGGCTGGTCGCTTCAAGCCCGACGTTCCCATGATCAAGAGGCGCATCGAGGATCTCATAGTCCGAGAATATCTGGAGCGTCCGGACGAAGAAGGCGCGCCATCCATGTATCGCTACCTGGCTTGATTCTAACGGCCGACATTCAATACGTGGGTACAGGGTTGGGTAAGGGTTGCTTCTGACGAAAAATCCGCATAGGGGGAGGGGGGCTTTATTTCCTTCGAGGTTTTTCTTTCAAAACATGGCACGGCGTCCAGAGCTTACTTTGCTTCTTGTTATCATGTCATTTCGCATTTATAGGAGTGAGGGGGGCGAGACGTGCGTTTACGCAACGGCATATTCTACAGCTGGAAGGCGATATAAGGAAGCATCTAGATGATGGAACCTTGGAAGTGTAGATTTGAAGGAAGTCGATAGCCCAAGCATTGAGAGGACTGGCAAAGGGTACATGGAGTGCCATGTACCAGATATTTCAGCCAAGGTACTCTAAATATCTGGCTTTTTTTTTCCCCCTTCTCTTTCTTCTCTCTTTGTGTGGCAGAAGTCAAATCATGGCTGCAATTATGCGTGAGGCTGATTATGAGATTTCGAAACGAAATCACGAACTGCGAAGTCGGAGTAATCAAGCCTATTATAACTGACCTCGATTAAGTATCGCTGAGGACGGGAAGCAGTTAGTGAGTTGAGCCCAACCTGGCCTCAATGTTCAGCATCTACCTACAGGCGACCACACAGTACTAGATCTGCCCTGTAGGATAGCGGACAACTTAGCGGGCAGCACGCACTGCACTGCACTGTAGACGCCGGGCCATCTTGTGCCGAGGCTTACATACGGCCGTTTTCCGCCGTTCGGCAGCCGAAACTGGGGAAGTTCCCACGATCTCTTTTGTTGCTCACCCAAACTTCCATTCCCAATGTCATCGAGAACTTGACTTTGGCCGGAACTGCAAGTTTTATTGAAAATTGAAAGCAGGCTCACACACAGCACCGAAGACATTTTACCTTCTTCTAACTTTCATTCAGTCTTTCAAGATCTGTATAAGAGAAACACAGTTTGTGTGTGTTGCTGGTTTTCCCGCGAACCAAAAAACAAAAAATGTTTGGGCTCAGGAGGTCAATGGCCACAGTGGCCTCACAAGCCTCCCTCTCGCTCAAGCAAGCCGGCAAGGTCGTCTGCATCGGCCGCAACTATGCGTAAGAAGAACCAAAAACCAAAACCCCCAATCAATCAAATCTCTCCTCTACTGCCTCTCTTACTCTCTCTCCAAAGCAAAAAAGAACAAGCAGAGAATGCTAACATCCGTGTGTGTGTGTGTGTGTGAAAAAAAGGGACCACATCGCGGAGCTGGCCAACGCAAAGCCAAAGAAGCCCTTCTTCTTCCTCAAACCGCCGTCGTCCATTGTCCTCCCCGGCGAGGGCCCGTGCCTGCAGCCCAAGGGCGTGGACATGCACTTTGAGGTGGAGCTGGCGCTGGTTATCGGGCGGATGGTGAGGAATCTGCATCCGGAGGACGAGAAGGGGGCGTTGGATGCCATCAGGGGTGAGTTTTTCTCATATAGTGTAGTGAAGAAAGAGAGAGAGAGGGAGAGAGAGAGAGAGAGTAATTCGCTAACATAAGGGGGAAATCAGCCTACGCAGTCGCCATCGACATGACGGCGCGCAACGTCCAAAACGAAGCCAAGAAAAAGGGCCTCCCCTGGGACATCGCCAAGGGCTTCGACACCTTCCTGCCCATGAGCAACCTGATCCCCAAGGCGGCCATCGCGGACCCGCACGACGCGGAGCTGTTCCTCGACGTCAACGGGCAGCCGCGGCAGCGCGGGTCGACGGCGCTCATGATCTACCGCATCCCGCGCATCGTCAGCGACATCTCGCGCGTCATGACGCTGCTGCCGGGCGACGTGGTGCTCACGGGGACGCCGGCCGGCGTCGGGCCCGTCGTGCCGGGCGACGTGATGAGGGCCGGCGTCAGGGTCGGCGGGAGGGAGGTGGAGGAGGGGAGGATCGAGGTGCCGGTGGAGTTGTCGGGGTCTGCGTATGAGTTTTCGGAGACGTGAGTGATTGCTGTATGTGTTTATATGCTTATATATATATATATATCTGTTAATATACATATGAAGACCATTACTAGTCGGGGAGGACTATGAAGAAAGGATATGAGACTGAGAAAATTAGTGGAGGAGGGCTTTTTTATATCAACGTGGCTATTCGACTCATCGCATCGTGTCCCCATCCACAAGCAATCTAACCTATTCATACACAAGAGCAAAGTTTGTTACAACGATAAACATCAAGTTCCCCCAATCACTCCAAGTTCGGATCCCGAATCGACCCCGGCTTCGGCGCCCAGTCCGCCACCGTCCCGCACCGGGTACACGTCCTCTTGGCCTCGTCGGCCCGAAAGTCCTCGACGGCCAGCTTGATCTGGGTGCCCAGGTCGGTGCAGTGGAAGGCGGCCTCGTGCACGACGACGGCCTCGCCCGTGCCCGCGAGCGCCTCCTGGCCGCACTGGCCGGTGCAGTACCAGCGCATGCGGTCGATGGAGTCCGCGGGGCGGCGCTGCTCCAGGACGATGCCGACCGTGTTGGCGAAGCGCACGGGGTTGTGCGGCGTGTTGGCGGGGAGCAGGAACATGTCGCCCTCGCGGATGACGATGTCGCGGAAGGCGGTGCCGTCGACGACCTTGAGGAGCATGGCGCCGCGGTATTGGTAGAACCATTCGGGGGTTTGGTTGATGTGGTAGTCGGTGCGGGCGTTGGGACCGCCGACGATCTGGTGTGTGTTTGTGTTAGTAGGGCTGAGGTTGAAGGACCAGTTGAACATGTGGGAGAGAAGATGTGAGATGAGAGACAGCGAAAGGGTTGAGCAAGGGGACTTGCCATGACGGTAAAGTCATCGTTGTAAACGCAGTAGTTGTTGACGGGCGGTTGAAGCAGGTGAGAGTTTGTCTCAAGCCTGGAGGATGAGAAGACATGGATTAGCTCTTTTTGTCAAGTAGGACACCGACGAAAAGGACAGAGAAGGGGAGTGAAGCTGATGAGGATGTTTTTGACTCACCACTTGGGCAGGTTGACTGGCGGTCCGAGCATTTTGTGATCGCTGGAGGCTGGCTGTTGTTGTGAATGGTTGTATGACTCTTCAACACCAAAGCTGGGGTAAGTGGCGACGACACTGATCTAGTTTAAAACAGCTATGCTTTGCTTGTCAAGTCAGTTCAACGGTCAAGCCTCGACTGAGAAGCTCATGAAACCGGAGCCGAAGATGCAAAGAGGAGAGAGTTGAAAAAAAAAGAACTCACTAGAAGCCTATCGTTTATGAGAAGTCACAGAACTGACGAGGCACAAAAGCAGAGATGACCAAGCTCAACGTCCCGTCTGCCGTCCGAAATCGAGAGAATCTTGTTTATCAATCACACCCTCCAGTTCCTTCCTCCAGCAACTTCTCGTGCGGTATTTCGTACTGTCGTTTACCGTGCCGAGCTACATCGAGCTACATAACTCGACACATCTATCCGGCTCTCCGGGCTTGTACACCGTACAGTGCGAAGCTCCCCGATATCCCGCACAAACGGTCGCCGAGTCTCGCACCGTGTGGGCGTCAGCCGTCGACATCATCCCACTTCAAGCAGCCCAAGACTTCACCTCCTTTTGTGATATAGTATGAGATATCAAGTGCCAAGCATCGACTATTCCACAGTCCAGAGCTTCTCGTCAACGCCCGCCCACCTGAGAACCGTCTCCTGAGACGCCTTGAACCTGCGCCGGAACCCCCTCGTCGCCGGCCGGGGCCCGTTGTAGGTGGCCGTCTCCGACTGCAAGAAGGCTCGGACGATGCCCGTCACCCGGCCCTGGTCTCCGTAAAGGTTGACCAGCATCCCGTGCAGCGCGTGGAGGTGCCCGATGAAGATGTCCTGGAACTCCTTGTGCTTTGGCATCGACGAGTCTCGCAGCGCCGGGTGGCAGGGGAACATGGTGAAGGTCGACAGGCAGAGCACCAGGTCGATCAGGTCCTCGGACCAGGGCAGACCCTTCCGGTAGCCGGTAAAGGCCAGGGCCTTGACGCGAATCTTGATGCTGTTGACGAGGTCGCCCTGTCTCTCGCAGAGCGCTGCCAGGGCCTTGAGCACCGTCGGCAGCGGCTCGAGGTCGTTTGGCCAGGGGCGCCCCGCGTAGCCCGTCGCTATGATTTGGTTGACGGTGGCCATTTGCCGGTCGACGTCGAATCTGTTGGGGGTCGCCCAGGCTTGCTTCTTGGACTCATCTATAATGTCGAACAAGGCAGCCTGTGTGCCGAGAATGGCGGGGATAGCATCGCCATCGCTCTTTGCTTCCCTGCAGTGACGATCAGACTCTGCCCTGCATCGGCCGCCTGTTCCTCGTTATCAGCATTTCACGTCTTACTCATTGAACCGACTGTGTCAAGACAGTGGGAGCCGGGACATGTCAGAGAACTTACAGTGGCATCGAAACTGATACCTCGACGTAATGCGCGGGTTGCGAAACGTAAAATCGTACGCAATGTCTCGGTAGCAGTGCAGTAGCTCCTCGCCGGCCTTGAGCTTCCGCAGAGCTCGAACCTGCACCTGCGTGCTGTTGAAGACAATGACCACGTTGGGATCGCAGTCGTGGTTCAAGAGAGCTCCCCCCAGGTCCAAGGCAATTCCCAGCGGCGCATTTCGATAAGTCTGATCGACTGGCAGCGCATTGCAACGGATCTAGAAGGGCAAATTAGCTAGCTGCCTGTACGCTGCAGGTTCTCCTGTCCCAATCACGACTGGGTCCATCTCGATGCCGTTCTCATGGGGAGAACTCACGATGCCATACAGAATCAGAATTTCGTAGATACCGAGCTCGCTCTTAGTTCGCTCCTTGGCTTCGCGAGCGAGTTCCAGAACCTTGTGCCAGGTTCGCTTGGCTCGTCTCTCGAAATTCGCCATCTCACTTTCCAGCCTGGACAGGGCCTGGACCTGCTCCGGCAGCAGGACCTTCTTCCTCATCAGAATCAGGAGACGGTATAGGGTTCTCGTCTCGAGATCGGTGGACGCGCCTGACAGCAAGCCGCATTCATATAGATGGCCCGTATCCCAGGCTCGTTGCCAGCAAGACTACACAGCAGCCCATGTTAGTCAGGGTGGCCAGGGCAGCAGGGCCGTCTACTTTACCTGTGAGCAGTACTGGTACATGCGGCAGCCATTGCAGACATGCAGAGGAGGCAGGACCTCGCCAGGCCCGAGAAAGCGACTCTCTGATGGGTGAAAGACCCTCCGCCTCTGCTGGAAGCAAAAGTCGCAGGCTTCCATGCCGTCGCCGACCTCTGCACAGAGAACAAGGGGCACCGACGTGAAGAGGAGCTCGCCCTCCTCCACGTCCCGGGTTGTGTATAGACCCGAGCCGGCATTCAGGAGGGGGGACTGCCTGATGCTGAGAGAGCCCGCGGGAGCCTGGAGGCTGTCGAGGATGTATTTGCCCAGCTGTGTGTCCTCGTGGATGGGCCAGCGCGGCATGGGGCCGTCGGGTTTGGCATCAGTCGGGCCCGTCTTTCTGACGCCGGCGGCGAATATCTGCTCAAGGGGATTCATTGCGTCTGTGCTGGATGATGTCCTCCCATGAATGGGTGGTAGAGACGAGCTGAGATGATGTGGTTCCCTTGGGGTACGCAGCTGAATGCCTCGCTGGAAGCGGGATCCCACGTATTTGTACAAACTGGTGGAAGAAGAACGTAGGGGAAAGGTTATGCAAGGGGTTGGCCACCGGGTAAGTTGTCACTACATGGAGGGCTGAGCTCAGATGACTTTTGGAGTCGCACAAGAAGGGGCTTGCTCGCCATGTAAGGTATGGTCAGGTAGATATTGGATGGTATGACAAGGCACTGCATGAGGTGTATGCGGAAGAAAGAAAGTTGGCAGGCAAGGGGAAACAGTGTGGCCGGCAGCTTCCATTCGTTTGTACTACTTCAGCTGTGCTTTGGCTGAGGGAACGTGACGACGATAGGGCAACAGGTGGACAGCTGATATCGAAGTCGTTGCGTGCTGGATGGATGGATACGATGGAGGTTCTGCTTGGTGATTCCGTGATTGTTTGCTTGCCAACTTCAGCTTCTGGCCGTTCTATCAGGGGTTGTTTCAGCCCGAGCTGCAGCTTGTCGAGAAGCGATTGGCGGCGGCGGACGGGGCTTGCAGGCCGTTGCTGTTTGTTCGAGGCATTTTCGACACTCGAGTTTGTCTTGATCCTTCTTCCTCTCCTCTTCCTGTCCATAAGGTAGCGGGAACGTGTAGTTGATGAACAGTGACATTCGTGAATCGAGCCAGCTTTATAAGGTAAATATCCTCGGCTGGTGAGATGGATGCTTTATCGTTATCTCGACTACAGTAGCATGGCACAGCTACAGCGCTTCTAGGGCACTGGCTCCGCTACGGCTCAGTGGTGCAACTCGAGGATTGCCGCTCTAGGGAGGTAGCACAGGCCCAAGCAGGCACAAGTGCCGCATCAAAGGTACCAAACCTGCTCACGAGTATCGTCGAGTATCTCGGCATACACACCGCCACCACCAGCTACCCGCAGATACCGGCGCATCAACCACGGTACGCGCGTCTTGGATGTCGCAAGCTGCCGTGCGATCCACCCACCGCCTGCCAATTGTACTCCAGTACTATCGGCCCTCTCAGTGACAAGCGGCCAGAGCTTCAGATTGTCTCTGCTTCTGACCAGAGACAAGTCAATAACTTGCTCGCTTTTCCTCGTCCTTCTCCCTCTTCTCCCCTCTCCTTCTCCATCTCCCCAGCTTCATCATCTCAGCTTCTCTGCTTCGCCGAATTTCAAAAAATGGACCACAGCCACCACATGCACGCCATGGAGGGCCACGAAGGCCACGGCGGCCACGGAGGCATGGAGGACATGTGCAGCATGAACGTGAGCGAAATCACCCTCTCCTTGGCTGGCATGAGGCAGCTCGTCCGGCTCACACAATGATGGCTGACGTGAATGCCCTCTAGATGCTCTTCACCTGGGACACGACCAACCTCTGCATCGTCTTCCGCCAGTGGCACGTCCGCTCCACCGCGTCCCTCGTCTTCTCCCTCATCGCCGTCGTGCTCCTCGGCATCGGATACGAGGCTCTTCGCTCCGTGTCCCGTCGCTACGAGGCTTCTCTGGCGACCCGACTGGAAACTGTTCCTAGTGAGTCAATACCCTTCCTCTCCTCTTGCTCTCCGTTGGCTTCGACCCGACAAAGACAAAGTCGTTATGCTCCCCACCCACAATTCGGCGGCGAGGGTATCAGAACATCCCCATCATATCCCCACCCCGTCAACGAAGTGGCCTCTCTTGCAAAGAGTAAAGGAAAGAGATGACGCATGCTAAGATGCCCTTTGAGCTGCTCCTGAACATGCCTACCGCGATGATGAAGAGATTGTTACTGAGACACCCGCCTTCCACCGCTCAGGGCAGAACCGCGAAACCGTCAGCAAGCGAGGCCACGTCATCAAGGCGACGCTCTATGCCATCCAGAACTTCTATGCCTTTATGCTCATGTATGTCTCTCTTCCACCCTTTCCGAGTGCTCCCTTGGCCTGTTTCTGACCTGTGGCTTGATAAATTCCAGGCTCGTCTTCATGACTTACAACGGCTGGGTCATGGTTGCCGTCTCGTTGGGTGCCTTTGCTGGCTACCTCTTGTTTGGTCATTCCACGTCGGCGACAAAGGACAATGCTTGCCATTAGAATGCCGGCCGGACGCGCTTCATCTTGAGCACTTTGGATTTGCGTTGGATAGCGACAGTGACGTGATTTTGCATGCAGCAAATGCCGATCATATGACTGAACAGGTACAATATCCGCACAGGCTTCCAGTCTGCTGTGAAATTCTTCGAACAACAACAGATAATTCATCGTCTTCGTCTATTCGTTATACAGGAGTGAATCATGATCAGAGTAGCCTCTGAGCATAACGGTGTGTTCTGTCTTGCGCTAGCGCTCACATCTTGGCGGGCTTGTCTTCGTCCTTCTTCACAGGATAGCTATTCTCATGGCTCTCATCCAGCGCGCCCTCTTCCTGCGCAACCCTGATGACTTTCAAATCTCCAAAGTCCTCATTGTGCTCCATCTCAGGCTCCTCGTCGTACGCGATCCTCGCTGCGTCGACGAGCACTCTGCCCGTCAGGCCCCAGACCTTGAACCGGCCCTCGTGATCCTGGCTCACCTCGAGCTGGTCCGCCAGCTCTATCTGAGCGGCGCTGCCGCGTCTCGGCCGGGAGACCTTCTGGTTGTTGACGGGCACGTAAAAGTTGTGCACCCGCCACTGCTCGCCCTTGTAGTTTGTCCACGCGCCTTCGTACCAATGCCCCGGCGGCAGCGTCTCGCCCGGTCGCGGCGGCAGATCGGTGGCCTTGAGAAAGTTGTAGAAGGGGGCGCTGAAGACGGCGGCGACCTCGCGGGCGTCCAGCCGGGGTATCATGGAGTCTTCGACCAGGGCCGGCGGCGAGTCGGGCGAGGTGCGGTCGGCGTGGAGGAAGGCGACGCAGGGCGTCACGACGAGATGCGTGCGAGCCAGAGAGGGCGGGAGGTAGCAGAGCTGCTCGATGCGAAAGGGCTTGGGGATGCGCGAGTCGTCCATGGGGAGGCCGATTTCTTCATAGGCCTCTCGTCGCGCAATCTGGTCTATACATGGTCTCGATCAGCACGTGTGCGAACTCTCTCTCTCCAAGCTTCGAGACTAAATACATGTACAAACATACACGGCGTCTCGTCTCTACTGTCTGCTTTCCCCCCCGGCAACGCGGCATGGCCCGAGAAGCTCCTCAGGCTGGCCGCGCGCATGGTGATGACGACCCTCAGGTCGCCCCATCGGTCCGCAAACAGGAGCACCAGGATGGCCGCTCGCTTGCGCACGGGCAGCGCATCCCACAGCGGGAACGGAGGAGGTCTATATAGTCGGAGTCGGTTGATGGCAGCCTACAAAGCAACAAATGCGTGTGCGACAATGGCGTCAGCAAAAAGAACTTGCAATATATTTGGCAATATATAAATCAGTGAACGAACGGACCGACCAGAGAAAAGGGATTCAGGGACGCCATTGTCGAAGCATCATAGTACAGCGATGCGCCGCCGTATTCATGCGCAACACTGGCAGCGTCGACGCCCAGCGCCGAGGCGATCTCGCTCTTGACCTGCGCAACTTCGGCCTCGGACAAGGACGGGGACGACGACGAGGCGACGTCCGGCTCCGGTGCGGGCGCGGGCGCGGATGCGGATGCGGATGCGGATGCTGTGGGATTCGACGGCTGCTGTTGTTGGTTCCACGGCTGCTGTTCCTGATGCTGTTCCTGTGCCTGGGCGGTCATCTTCCAGCGTTGTCGGCTGTTTTGTTTTGGTTTTGTTCAACGTGGGGGAAAAAAGCCACGGGCGCTTTGCGTCGGGGAGATGGGGGATGATGACGCCAGTGGAGAGGCGGCGGGATCGGAATCTGGGGGTAGTATTACGGAGCAATTGGGGCGGGGATGGCACCAGCCGAGGAACGGGCCGATGGATGGCCGGGGGGGTAGACAGATGGAGATTTGACTGAAGATTGGAAGATTGGAAGATGGAGAGGCTTGACAGCTGGTATCTGCTTGTCCTGGGGATGGACTGGTCTATGGTGGTTTGATGAAAAAGACACAAAAGGGCGCGGGCTCAATCCACTCGTGACGACATTGACGACGCTACCGGAATTCCAGGGAGAAGGACATCAAGAAATAGAAGATGGGAGTACTTATTAGCATTAAGATACAGGTACATATGATCGATCAACCCACGGAATCCAATCAAATAGACTCCCACGCTCCAGCAGCCCGGTTCAAGCATTCCAACCAGTTCCAACAACCTTCACCCTTCACATTCGCCCCATCTTCATCGACACACCACACCCTCATCTTACAACAGCGCAGCAACGCCCGCAGCCAGCAAGCCAAACACATCCAGCGCCTTGAACCCCGACCCGCCCGACACAACCGGCATCTGCGTGGGCTGCACCGGCGCCTGCGTAGGCTGAGCCGGCCTCGTCTCGTTGCGGTGCGGCTGGTGGTGCTTCTCCTCCTTTGCCTTGGCATCATCACCGTCCTTGTCCTTGTCGTCGCACTCCTGGACGCGGCGCTGGCCCTCGGGCTCAAACGGGCTGAAGCCGAGGCAGTCTGCGTAGTCGGAGGCGCACTGCGCCTGGTTGGCGTCGGGCTGGCCCCTGCACTCGTCGCTGGCGTCCTCGCACTCCTTGACGCGCCGGCAGTCCGTCTTGGGCGCCGCGGACGCGGAGCACTTGTCGGAGACGTCGTCCGGGTTGTGGGAGCCGTCAAAGGGGTTGTAGCCCAGGCAGTCGGCGTAGTTGCTTGCGCAGGTCGACATGTTGGCCGCCGGGGTGGCGCGGCACTCGTTGTACGCGTGGTAGCACTTGCACTCGTCGTCGTCCGCGGCGGCGCCGGCGTGGTCTGCCATGGCGGCGGCGGAGGCGACGAAGGCCGTGATGAAGAGGAGTGCGGAGCGCATTCTGGATGGGTTTGGGGGGGTTTTTCTCTTGGGATGTGTTGTGTGGTTTGGATGGAGGTGAGAGATGAGAGAGTTTCGGTGAGTTCAGTGAGTTTGGATGATTCAAGGGGGAGGAGATGTGAATGAGTGAGTGAAGCTGAAGAGCATGAGGCTCATCTCTGCCGAACATTCAACGTCTTTATATACTATTACCGTCGATACTTCAAGGGAACAGCAAACACACAGAAGATGCCCCAGTTCGGGCTTGCTGGAAACCGCCGGCATTCCAGCAAACGAGGCGAAATACTTGTGGTGTTCTAGAAACGCGAGACATTGGGTGGGCTGTGCTGGCGATGCTCCGAGACATATACATTAACATTGGGGGGGGAAGCCTGGGGAAGATGTGGTCACCCGGGAGAATGGGACTGGGAATTTCTATCCCCTTTTTATCTTGCCTTCGGTCGATCGGCCGATGAGGCGAGGTAGTGTCTACTGAGGCCTCTCCCTTCAAGCATCGATGGTAGGGCTGAGTGTTGTTGTTGGGTTGACTCTCATGCAGTCAACTTACACCACACCTACCATTCAGCACCGGCCATGAACCTTTTCCTTTCCCGAAAGCAAAACAAACGGAAGCGCCAGCGAACGTCTGCAGAAAGAAGATCAAAAAAAAAAAAGATAAAAATGGGCATCCGTCGAGCTTTTCCCGCATGAAAAGGCCAACATGCCAAGGAAACGAGAGTAACATTCCTCGTCCCCCTTTTTTCCCTTCCTTCTTCCTTCTTTTTTTTCCCACTTGTCTGAGTATTCATGTCGATACTTGTGACCGTCATTCCTTGAAGAAGTGACAAATGACATCAAGACTTGGAAAAGCATGACCTGACTGGTGGTTTTTCTCCCCATCTGAGGTGACTTGGTCGTACTAGTATGAGGCAAAACAGATCACGATGTCTGTGACACGCAATATCAGGAGACCAGAAGGGTTCCGACTGGGACTTCCAAGTCTTCATAGCCCAACTCAATCGCTCATTTTCATCCTATTTAGAACCAAATCCTTCATTCATCATCACCATTGAAAAAAAAAGTAAAAAAAAAAGTAAAAAATCCCGGAGCACGAGATTAGTATTTCCAGGCCTCCCCAGCCCCCCGTTGTCCAGCGGTTCCTGTGGATTGCATTCTTCATAGTTTATTGGACACTGTTTGCTTGATACGCAGTTGAATCATGAAGCTGACTCTGTAATTCACAAGTATATCCTCTTTTTGACCTTGAAACTATTCTAACTAGCTATTATATGGCCGTTATTAACACCAATCCCCTTGTACCAGATCGACGGATTTTACAATATATAGAACAACACAATTTCCCATGACAAACAACAACAGAAAGGTGGTATAATATCGTGTACAGGACAACAAAAAGGAAAAGGCAGTCTTTTTTCTTTACCAAAAACCAGACAAAGGGGGGGGGATATCCATTCGCGCAAAAAGCCCATTTACTCCGTAGAATAATGCCCAATAAGGAGAGGAAAGTGCAGTAGTAGTAGTGTCGATTTTGTAGCAAAACAAAGAAACCAGGGAGGGTGTTGAGACAGTCCAGATAACGTCCACCATGCTTGTCCATAGATTCGTGCCCATTGTTGATCATGTCTTCGTTTCGTGAATAAGACAAAAAAGGAAAGGGGAGGGTGTAGAGTTGTTATTTTCTCTCCGACGCATATTATAAGAGGGCTTGAGCTTTCGGCTTCTTTTTATTCGGCTTGCTGGTCCCTTCGTCTCCTGCCAACCCCCAACAACCGAGACTTGACGAGTCCTCGCTTCAGGCTCGAGTCCTCATCTCGGGAGTCCCGGTTGCGCTCTTCGCTCCTGTGCGAGAAGCGGTCTCTGCGCCATCGCGACCGGCTGCTCGGCCGATCGCTGTCCGAGTCGCTCTCCTCAAACATGCTCTTGGGCTCGGCGGGCTCCTCGGGCTCGGGCTCGGGAGCAGCGGGCGCCTGCGATGGTCCCTCGGCAGAGCTGCTGCTGCCCGTCCTCCGTGTGTTGGGGTCGGCAGTCGTTGGTCGCCGTCGCAGGCGGCCAAACTGGGAGCCGTGTCTGAAGCTCATGATGGATGATCGTCTTCCCTTTGGCTCTTCAACAGGCTCCTCGACGCTAATCTTCCGTACAGAAGACGCAGCTAGCTCGGCGGCAAACTTGTGGTACTCGCCGGCAGTCATGTCCTCCTCGTCGCTTAGGAACTCCTGTTCCTCCGGATCCGCGGCCGGGGACATGTAGGCATCCTCTTGTGCAGCAAATTGGCCCAGGCCATCCGTTTCGAAAATTCGGGCACTGCGGCGGCGGCGGACAGACGACTTGGGACCCAGGGGGAATGCAGACGCAGAGTGCGGCGATCCCGGTCCCCAAGAGCTCTTCTTGCTTGATAAACTAGCCATGCCGTCGTCGTCTTCCAGAACCGGCACCAGCCCTTCTTCCGGTGGCTGTAAATGGTTCGTCGACTTTGGAGAGAAGGGGTCTTCAAAGCTTCGGCTGCTTCGAGTGACAGGCTCCTTCTCGGGCTCCTGAGAGACGGTGCCCATGAGATTCGTAACGTCGACATCGTGGCCCATGAGCTGCAGCACCTTCTTGGACTGGCGGTGCTTGAGGCTATGGACGGGACTGGGAGGGTTCAACATCCGGGGAGGAAGGTTGGAGCTCCTGGCAGGGGTCCTCGGCGAGAGGCGGGGCGAGGCGGTTCGTGATTCAGCTTCAAATTCCATCTGCAGCGCGTCGGTCGAGGCCGGCCCCAAGCCCGGCCCCACTGGCAGGGCATCCGGCTTGCTCTTCCTCTTGCTGATGTTGAGAGGCGGCGGGACGACGGCCCGGTTCGTCATGGGCGGCAGAGGCGGCAGAGGCCTCTTCGCATAGGCGTCGACATTGTCGGGCTGCGACGCCAGCGGCGTCACCGGCCGGCTGTCCCAGTGAGCCGGCGCCGAGGTGGGCGACGGCGGATCGGAGGCGGACCGCACGTGGAACATCTTTCCGGCAGCCAACTGGTGCTTCCAACAAGCCAGGAACCACTCGTCAAGTGCTAGCGGTAGGAGCTGGGTGAGGAGGAAGAGGCCGTGGTATATTATCAGCTCGCACCCAAGTCTGACCTGTTTATATGAAGTCGTTAATGAGAGAGGAGGAAAAAAGAGGCGAGGAGGCAGGACGGCGGGCAATCACCTTGTATAATAGTAATTAAGACTGACAGGACAGGCAAGCCACCCCCCCAGGCAAGCAATGGCCAAGGCAGGGCCAGGCAATCCCGAAGCAATCCACGTGGAGATGGGTGCACCGGCCTCTGGGGTAGGAGTATGAAATTGACAGTGAAGCCGATGGAGCAGCAAGGAAAGGCACACCACAGAGCCCTGCCCGTGCTTGGAGCCACCCCCACAGGGTACCCCTTGGCTTGTTAAAGTGAGAGGAGAGACGAAACGCACAGGCGGGTACAAGTCTGAATAGGGATGATGAGATACAGTCTACCGGCAGAAGTGTGTACAAGCGTGCATGCGAGCGTCAGTGTGAGAGGGGGGAGAAGAGACTGAGAGACGGGAAGGAGGAGGAGGAAGGACAAGAAGAGGGAGAAAAGGAGAGGAAGAGGACGGAGAGAGTAGTATTATTATGAGGACGAGGGCCAGGAAGAGTGTGTGTGAAGAGCATCAGCTTCGGATGCAACAAGGCGAGCGCATGCTTGTGCGGCGCACAAGGTCGTACCAAGATGCGAGCAGGCAGACGAGATACAATTCTCGCGCTGCATGATGTGTGTGTACGAGGTGTCTCGCGTGGTGGTGATACCAAGTACATGCTTCGTACGAAGTACACAAGACCCAGATCCAGAGCCCAATACCTTCTTCGTACTGCGTAAGAAGTGTACGAACCACAAAAGCAGTGATAATGCCTGCATGCAGTCCATGCAGACAGGCCCAGAGAGGGGCGTGGGTGGAGGGCCGTGCCATGGATAAACGACATGGGCATGGAGCAAACAGTGCTACTACTAGTCGACAGTATGTAGTATGTAAGATGATAAAGGCCAGCCTCATCCGGCCTGGCCGATCACCACCACTGCCGAGTGGAGGTGACGATTGTCGCGCGGATTGGCAGAGCAAACAGAACGTGGGCTTCGACAGCTGACAATCATCCGCAGGCATGTCAAGTGAAGATGGGGCACCCAAAGGCGAGGAGGGGGCGATTGCGTGCAGCAACGGGCATCCAATGGCGAGAATCCAGAGGGACGATGACAGGAATGGAAGAAACGAAACAAAAAAACAGCAAGACATCGCCATGCAGCGACATCCAGCGGCGGCTCGTGACCCGCCAGGATCCCTCGCCAAGCTCGCACAACTCTCTGGGGGAATGTAGCTCAGCTAAGGCTGCGTATGCCATGACATGGGCATGCCATAACCATAACCAACTCAGAGGGATCGTATCGCATCCTCGTCGATGTTCTCGGTGCATTTCCCCCCAATCCCAACCGCACTCGTATGTATCGTGTCACAGCTCCCAAAGTCTTCTCCAACCTTCCTTCGTTCGCTCCTCAGCCTTTTGCCCCATCAGCACAGACAAAACGTGCAGCCGTGGTGAGAAAATGGGCATCGTGATGGGCGCGCTGCATTCCAGTCTGACATGCTTCGTACCAAGTGAACGTCTTTCCTCCTCCCTTGCTTGACAAGCTCCCGCCTCGGTTGACTCTTCTGCAACCCGTGCTTTCGTGCTTCGTAATACTACTACTACCAGCAGCAAGCTCGCGCGGGAGTGCTTCTTAGGATATGAGCAATTCGCCCCCGTTCATGCAGCATGGTGGTAATCCTGGAGTTTTTCCAGATCCCAGCATATTTTACGGGTGCTGCAGTCCGTCGTCCTGGAACGCAATCTCGCTTTCTGCCTTTCTTTCCAAGGCCCCTTGCTCGGTACCTCCAGGCCGTCCATGGCGCTCGCCGACGCACCGCCCCGACGGACATTCATGTCATGCTCGCATAATGCGCTTGTACGAAGCATGTACGAGGCGTATTGTCAGAACTGAGCCCGCAGCTCTGCCTGCCTGGATCGTATACCTGTATGGACGAGCATGCAAACGCTTTGTCTCCCATGGTTCTGCTGCAACGTTCGGTGGGCACTGCCAGCTGCTGTCAGTCCCAGCTAGCTTCGCCCAATGCGCCGGAATGGAGCACGGCAGACGCTGCCAATGCTGACTCTATCGCCAGATTGGTCGGCGCATGCAGGGCATTGGCCTTTGACCCCTCTAATGGAGCCCTCGGTGACTGGGTATCGTCCTCTTGGCCTGGTCGGTTCAGGGAGGTCCTTTTTTCCCCAGCAGCCAAGTCGTGGTATAGCTCTGGCAGCAGCATGATTTGTGTTGTTCATCCTGCATAGAGCTTTCCCCTTGTCACGTCTCAAACAGCCCTCCTCTCCCCCGAAAGTGACCCCCTCGTCATGCGAAGCAAACCTGCGACTCTTCGCACGTGGCGCAGGTGCAAGTAATTGCAGCAGGTGTGTTGCTTGCAAAGACCGCGTGGTCCCTAGCAGTTGAGGCCATCATGGGTAGAACCCCTGTCCTGCCCTGCAAGCGGGATTCACGGAGTCCTAGGAGCTCCAAGATGTCGGTCCGTATTCCGCGCCGTCGTTAGCTTTGGTTGATCCGTATGACTATCTGACGGAGCTACCAGACGACTGTTTCACGCTCACAACTGACAGGTTTTGTTGTCTCTTTTCTCTTGTTTCAATGCACTCCTTGGCAGGGCTCGGCTCATTTCGTTTGGCCATGGTATCAGGCTTATTATTTTCCGCGTGGGGGCTGTCGCTGTCCACTGTCGTCAAACGGTTGTACGAGTAGACGAGCACTCCGTACTGGCTGTACGAGTAATACTTCACATGCCTTGCTTCGTAATCGGGGGCAGAGCTTCGTCGCCTTGTCGATGACTTTTAAATTGCGTCGCCAGTTCAGCCGTCGATGCCGGTGATAATCGTCCGACGAACCTGATAGCCGGAGAAAAGGACCCATGAACATCGGGCCATCGTCTCTTGTTCCTCCAATCAGCCGGAAATGTGTCGCTGGCCTCGTTGATCGTGGTGGTGCGACCGGCATTTGTCGAGCCCTGCCCGCCTATCCCCTCCGTAAACCTGCAGAGTCCCTAGCCCCCGGCCCCCAATTTCCTCGGCCCCCGTGACCCCTGTACATCGACGAAGTGCTATCTACATGGGCAGTACAAGTGATGATCATGTATGCGAGAGAACGGACTGCTTATGGGTGTGTAAGAGTGTAAGAGTCCCGAATGCTCCGCGAAATCTATATAAATAGAAAGAAAAAGAAAGCAGAAAGAAAGAAAACCAGTTGCCAAGATGTTCTTTTCAAATCCAAGTACGCGCCAGTTGCCTTGTATAGGATAGGGTAAAGTAGGTAGGACATCTTCCAACAAAAAGTGCTGAGTCGCTTCTTCTATTCCCCTTTCGCCGGGACGATCAACGATAGACACTCGGCCAAATAATAATACGCCGTGCGGCCGCTGCCTGCTAGTCATCATCGTCTTTTCCCTGGTAATCGCCCAGCAAGATATCGTCGATGCCGAGCCCTGTAGATGAATTCCTAATCCATTCGGTCTCGACGCGGAAGAAGATCCACATCCAGCGGCGGAAGACCTCGAGCAGCTCAATCAGGAAAATGCCACTCTCATAGTCGCTAAATTTATCCAGATGAGGACTCAGTTTCATCGACCACGAGCAACGCAGCATCAAATCAAGGCCAATCACGGCGTAGTACAGGCCAGCGGAGCGGAAGACGAGCCGATCGCGCAGGCCCCACGGGTGGTGCACTGATGCCCGCTCTCGCGAGGAGAAGAGCGTCAGGTCCCAATCCTTGGCCACGTCCCAGTAGAATGAGTACAGCGAGTTGAGCGTGACGGCGACCAGCCAGGCCCGGTGCAGGGCGGCCATGTCGCTGTCTGGCCCGGCCCCCCTCTGCATAGCGCTTGTGATGATGACGGGGAATGCGGTCGAGTACTTGAGCGCGTTGGCCAGGTGTTGGCCGCCCCAGCCGGTCGACTCCTTGAACGGGGCCCGGCGAACTCTCAGGTACTCGATGAGGCACTGGCGCAGACGGATCATGCTCGGCACGGCCATGAGCAGCGGCACAAAGAGCGTCCCCCCGCAGCTCCTGTTGGGATGGTCCGTGGAAGATCCTCCGGCGCTGAAGAACATGCACAGCGTCACGAACACGTCGCCAAACACCTTTGAATACGATGTCAAGACATCGGCCAGCAGGATGTCTCCGAACTTGCCATCCTGCGCCTCCGCAATGCCGCCAATGCTTACGCGTCGCAGCGTCGCAAGGAAGCGCCTCCGGCCACCCGTAGGCAGATTGCGCAGAGGTACGAAGAAGCATGCCACCAGGGCGACAAGGTAGGTCATGGGCATCCAGTCGTAGGCGATGACCCGGGCTGGCACGTGCCAGGTGCACAGCCAGAACAGCACAATCGACAGCGAGAAGAGCGCCGTCAAGACTATGGCCAGTCGGTACGTCGACAGGTGATGCGATATATGCTGCGGCGAGCTTCGTCCGGGATATCGAATCAAGGAGGGAACGTCGATTCGGAAGGCATGCAGCCAATGGAGGTTGAGACCCCATCCCCAGACAGCTATGAGCCGTATTGTCAGCATTGTCAATGCATCGCAAGGTCATTCTGTCCAGGGACACTGCGCAAATCGAGTAGAACCAACCTAGAGTGACTATGAACCCGACTCGGTACGGCAGAGGAAATACCAGGCTAAAGGCATCGAGCTGAGGCTCTACCGCAGGATCGCCATCCATGGTGGAAACGTGTTGTCAACCCAATTGCACCCGCAGAGAAGCATGAAAGGGATAGACATGGAGGAAGCGCCTCAGCCAGTGATTCCCAGGCGGAGGGCAAATGAACGAACGGCTGGTGCTCTTCCTGCGCACGTTGTAAGCGTGTTGATCAGTGACGGTGTCAGTATCCGTTCGAGGTTGAAAAGGTCAATTGATGTCTGAGGCGCCAAATGATCAAGCTGTCCCTTGCAGTTTTGGCGCCAAATTAGAGGGCAGGTACGGAAAAAGGTCCCTGCCGTACCAAAGCTCAAGCTACGTCACAGCGATACGACTGATATTCCACATGGATTGTACGCGTTAACCTGGAGAGCAGATCAAAGACCAAGGTATAATAGGCTTCATTTGTGTTTATTACGGTCACAATTACTCCATGGATTTGAATTGTTAGAGGCACTAATTGGCAAGCCATTCAAAGAGCAGGTTGCTGAGCGTCAAAGCAGGACTGTCGACTGACATTTCGTCAATGAAGTTATTAATCGTTTGACATGCTTGCTGTAGATGAACCTCTCTTGCCTCTCTATGAGACTTTTGAGAATTCTACTTCAACTAATCATCACTGACGAACATCTCAATCTTTGATCTTTGACTGCAAGTCTCAAAAATTCAATGCCAATCAACACCCAGAGAGGACTATATTGGAAAGCCCTTTCCCCAGCATGTCACTCTCACATGGCTTCGGGGGATATTTTGAGCCTAGTCAATCTGATGGCACGCCCGAAACTCGAGTTGGCCCGAGGTCCAGCGTGTTAGCGCCAAAGCCTGGAGCTGCATGCACGCACCCAAACCTTTCAACTTCAATCCTTCAACATCAACCTCAACATCAACAGCATCTTGCCATTTCGTCTTTACAGCCATAACTATCATGCCGCCTCTATAACAACTCTCTCTGATCTCGTATCATTCATACAAGCATCTCATCAACCGGCTTTAATAAGGGACAAAGGACGACGAGCAGCACAGCAATAAGCACAACCACCATGGCCGCCTCAACGCCATCACCAGCCTCCCCATCCTCATCGCCCTACCCCTTCGCCGCAGCCCCCGACATCGTCCGCTCCCACCAAAAGGACGCCTACTTCACCGGCAACCTCGCAAACTCCCTCACAGACCTCCACCGCCGCCTCTTCGGCGCGCGCTCCGCCCACGCCCTCGCCCCCGAGCTCCGCACCGCCGCCTCCCTCCTCTACTTCGGCCTCACCACCCTCCCCGGCCACCGCACCCTCGGCGAGGAGTACTGCGACCTCGTCCAGGTCGACGCCGGCCCCCGCGGCGCCCGCCTCGTCTCCCTGCCCTCCCTCCCCTCCCGCGCCGCCTACATCGCCGGCACAATCATCCTCCCCTACCTCGCGTCCCGCGCCCTGCCCGGCCTGCGCGCCGGCCTGCGCCGCCTCATCGACCGCCGCCTCGCCGCCCTCCGCCAGCAGCAGCAGCAGCAGCAGCACAACAAGGACGGCGGCGGCACGACGCGCCAGGTCCGCGTCCTCGAGTACCTCTCCGCGCACCTCTCCTCCCTCACCTCCGCCGCCCCCTTCCAGGCCGTCGTCCTCGCCCTTTTCTACTTCAACGGCACCTACTACGAGCTCACCAAGCGCCTCCTCTCCCTGCGCTACGTCTTCACCCGCACCGTCCCCGACACCCCGGACCGCGCCGGCTACGAGCTCCTCGGCGTCCTCCTCGTCATCCAGATGGCCGTCCAGGCCTTCTTGCACGTCCGCGACACCTTCTCCTCCGTCTCCGCCTCGTCGCAGCGCGAGAGACTGGGCTTTCACGCGGGAGAGCTGGACGTCTCTCTCAGTCACAACAACAGCTACTCCGCCTCCAACAATGACCTCTTGCTCAGCGGGGTGGGCACGGTCGGACCGCAGGCGACAAAGGTGGACATTGCCACAACGACGCATACCCCCGTGAGCGGCGTTCCGCGATTCCACCTCGAGAACGAGTCGACGATGGGCTACATCAAGGGCAGCCAGCAGCGCAAATGCACGCTGTGCCTCGAGGAGATGAAGGACCCTGCCGCCACGCAGTGCGGCCACGTCTTCTGCTGGGAGTGCATAGGCGACTGGGTCAGGGAAAAGCCCGAGTGTCCCCTCTGCAGAAGAGAGGCCATGGTACAGCACATTCTCCCCTTGCGCGTCATGTAGCGAGTTTCTTTCATATCTTGTGTTTGTTTTTGGTCAAGCGAAATCAGATGTTCTTGGATAGCTAGATTGTGATACTCCATACATGTAGAAATAATGCGTTGGTTGGCAGGAAAACTGGTATAGAAGATGTAGAAGAAGGGAAAAGGTTAGCAAGAAGTAAGGTACAAAGGGAAAGAGATGAAAAACAAAGCAGATGCCTTGCTAGGCTTGTCCGCCGATAATCCATCGCACATACCATCGTACAAAGTGATATGAAATGTGGAATAGAAGTAAGAAGTTGAACAACAAAGAAGAAACTTTCCCTTCATACATTTCCCTTCGTGGTATCATTAACCCCCATTACTGCGCCCATCACCCCGTGTTTCCGCCTCATACCGCAGTAGTAATGCCACAAGATTAGTTGACGACCCCCAGCCATGACCAGTCCATCTCGTGTGAACCGCACAGGCTTGCTTCGAGATGGCGTCGTCGGCCATGATCCAGGATAGTCGCCCGTATTGTTGTTGTTGTTACAGGGGGGGAAGACCAAGTTTGTCCGTCTATCCATGACCCTTTAGATAGTATGACAGATAGAAGACAATAGTGGTACAGATCCATTCCGGCCAAGCATGCAGAAACGCTGTCAAAGAAAGCAAGCTGAGGATAATCCAGCAAAACTCCTGTATCCAAGTATCCAAGAAACACTGAGTAGGTTCCGCCCGGAGGCGAATTCCGTCGATTTTTTTTCTTCTTGTTATTTTTTTGTTTGTTTGTTTGCATAAATTGAGGAGATTATTCTTCGCAGAAGAGAACAATCTCGCCTCGGTCGTTGCGTCGAAGCCGCAGTGACCTCCACAGCTCCTTCTCTTCCTTGATCTTGGGAACGTTATCGCCAGCAGCCTGGCGCTCCCGATGGAAACGCTTCAGGGCCTTGTTCATGCTGCAGCCGCGCTCGCTCTCTGGGCCCTTGTTCACGAAGCTTAGGAAGACATCGGCGCGAGGCTTGAAGACGACCATCTGCCCGCCATGGTCCCCCTTGCCGTCCTTGGAGCCGGGTCGGTACTCGATGAGCTTGGGCGACTTCTTCTCGTGCTTGTGCGAGTGCTTCTTGGAAGAAGAAGAAGAAGAAGACTTGCGCTTGCTCGACTTGGTCTTGGGCGGGGCGCCGGCGATCATGCCAAAGATGCTAGTGGTGGACTGGTGGTGGTGGTGGCTGCTCTTGTGGTGTCGAGAGTGCTTCGACTTCTTGAGGGGGCTTGTGGGCGAAAGGTCGGCAATGTTGTCTCCAGAGTAGTCGGGTGAGGGCGGTAAGGTAGGTCGCATCATGTTCTTCAGGCCGCCGGTAAGGCCAGAGTGAAGAACGGGGGGTGCGTCGGCCATGATCTGGTCGCCAGTGACGTCGATGTGCAAGCGCTTCCGCTTCTTGTCCTTCTGGGTGCCGCGCTCCTTTGATGACCTTCGTCGCTCCGTCTTGGGCTTAGGGGTGACGAAATCCGCAGTGGGCACAGGGCCGGTTCCATATTGTACCAGCGGCTCTCCGTCCTGGTCCATAATTGAGGCCGGTTCCAAGAGCTCGCCAGTCTTGGTCTCGTAGCGCACAAGAGAGGTGGTGTCGTCGGCATTGGAGGGCTTTCGGTCTCTTGTGCGGCTCACGTTCGAGGCGGTCGGGGTCTGAGAATTGTCCAGGAAGTCAAAGACGTTGACGTGCTCATCGTCGGCGGCAGACGGAGGAGTCGGCGCCTCTGGAGGAGGGCCCGTGGGAGACTTGTTGGTGATTTCGTACTCGTGCCATGATTCGTATTCTTTGTCCTCGCCAACGTCTTCGACGAATGGCTGCAGGGCCAGCGTGTTGGCCATGCCCATGCGATGTGAGTTCATGGCGGGCTGTTGTTGTTGATGTTGTTGCGGTTGCTGCTGCTGTTGTTGTTGCTGCTGCTGTGGCTGCTGCTTCTTGTTTTGCTTGGGTTTGTATAATGCGCCTTGGTATTTCTGCTCTTCGGTCATGCAAGACTGAAAGCTGTTAGCCGGACCACGCTGCAGAATCAAGAGTATCGACACCAGGTCGGCGCTCTGTCAAGTCAGAAACTCACGGTATGAGAGCGATATTCGACGCCGGGAAAGTAAACCATGCAGTCGATACAGGTGAAGGTTGCGCCTCGACAGCCTCTGCGATGAGGATCGAGTTTCTTTTTGGTTAGGACGTCACCACACGCCTATATAAGTATAAGTAAACAGGTCAGAAGAGAGTCGAGGCCGGGAGAAGGTAAAAGAGACTAGTGCAATGCAGACGGACGAGGCGATGCGAGCTGTGGGATGGATATAGTGGCATGTATATACCAGCAGCAGCGCGGTTGCGGGCAGGGGGTGGAGGGGGAGGGGGAGGGGAGTTTGTCGAGACAAAGGCGAGCGGGCCCGAGGGATCAGCGGGACGCAAGCAGAAGGGATGCTTGAAATAGTGCCAGTAGTGCTACTCTGCCGGGAGCTGGACGAGCAATAGTAATACCCGTACAGTCCTAGCAGCGCGGAGGGAGGGTGGTGTGTGCAGAGCGAAGGGGTGATGTCAGGCTATGAAGCGGCCGGGGCCAAGGCAGTGGTGGTGGCCGAGCATCTCATGCTGCGGGAAAGATGACCGTGACAGGGGCGGGGGCGAGGCCTGCGCAGCGCCACGGACGGGAATGGGAGCAGCCAGACACAAAGAAGAGCATTGGACGGGAGGTGATGGACGGGACAAGACAAAGAGAAGCACGCCAGGTAAGGTGAGATGAGATGGCTAGTGCCGACGTACCTCGCACGAGAAGGAGACCATGACTGCGGCTGCGGGTTGATTGGGCCACGAGAATAAGAAGAGTAAAAAAGTTTGCCGGTTCCTGGATGTTTGCGTGAGTGGCTTTCAAGCCTTTTGTTTTGCTGCTGGTTTTTTGCTTTTGTGTGTCGGCAGGGCCTGCGATTCGACGACGAGCGGATGGAGACGGAGGGGAGATGCAGCGGCAGAAGCAGGCAGACGGAAGAAATCGCCGGGATTCTGCAGAGCCTGGTCTGGCCTGTGGTGGAGAGAGACACAAAATTTCTGTCGTGCTTGTTTTGGTCGCAACGAGCAGGTCGAGATGCGCGCGGTGCTTCGTGGCGCCTGGTAGAGGCTCGCAGCGACGCAAGGGAGCGGCCTTTATGCTGGAGGAATGCGTCTCGAGATTGAGGGCGTGCGAAAGATTTGCGAGGAAGCGAAGAAGAAGAAGAGGAAGAAAAAAATGCAAAGCTGAAAGACAGCAGAAGCTGATAGGCTCTCTGGGGGACGGGAAGAGAATTCAATGGGAATGGAAGTGGGCGACGGGGAATGGAGGGGCGATTTTAGGCTTGGAACGTATGGGGAGGATGTACCTGGCCTAAAATAGAGGGGTGGAGGGGGAGAGGAACAGGCCTGGCGCCAAAACAGAAGAAACAGGGCTTGGAAACCGCTGTAATAGTAAGAGAACCTTGAAGTGATAATATGGAACACGACGAAGGAATGAAGGCAAACAACAACAACAACAACAACAACAACAACACAACGAGACCGGGCCGGCAGCCGTGATTTATTAATACTGTTCGTCTTGTTAGGTATTAGTCTAGCTGGCACTCTTGCCAGCGTGAGGGATCACAAGGCGGTACGGTACCTAAGCCAGACTCTTTGCTGCTGTGATAGTCTCATGTGCTGTGGATGCCGCCCTCCATCCCACATCATTCTATCGCAACCAGTTTGTGGTTTCGATTTTACCCTCTCGCCAGGCAAGGCGGCTACAGCTGTTGCCTGCGCCCGCTGCACGACGACGTCGTCTTGCGCCGCGACCCTGCACAGACGGCGATAAATTTTTTCTTTCTCTTCCTTTTGCCCTTCTCTTGTGTTCCATTCCCTGCCCTATCCGGCCGTCAGGATCCCCGTTGGGCATCAGGCGCAGCCGTAGGGCTTCTCTTTGGGGAGCAAGCGAGGAAAAAAAAATGACCAAATTCATGCCTCTACGCAAGCCAAATCCTGCCTCGCTGCGGTGAACGGTCAGCAAACCTCCAGACCTCGCTGCTACGAGCACGCCTCTGCCTCTGCCACCACGCCTCGACACCAGCTCGAATATCTCCCGGCAACCAGGCGCCACAAGTCGAAACTCGACTGAAGCAGCCCGGCGATTGGCTCCGCGGCTTCGTTTTCCAGGGTCGGGTCACATGAAGCTAGGCAATGCCACCTGCACGCCCTGGCGTCACCTTAGCCCTCCCGTACATGCCCAGCAATAAGATGGTCAGGATGGATTCTTACGGCGATGGCGAACTTGGGGCTCTGCGGTGGCCGCCCAAGGCATCGCTCGGCCAGGCCACAATGAGTCTAAAAAGGCCCTGTTGCCGACGTGGTTGTCCGTTTTGCAACTCAACACCAATTTTCCCTCTTCGTCGCTGCCCAAGACGTCGGTGATGACGACGAAAACCTCCAGCGTGGCCCCCGAAGCCTCGCCACGGCCAAGACGAGAACCGACAAGGCATGACAGGACCCAAAGAAGAGGCGGTCTCTTGTTATGCAGCCATGGCGGTAGCACAAGGACCAAAAAAGTCATGGGGGCCGAGGGGAGTGTGTCAACAAGCATATCCAATTCCACATTGCCCGACGAGAGGTGCATGACGGAGCTCTCTTCCTACATACCCGCAGATTGCGAGCTGCTGTTTCGAGAAACATGCGTTGTTGAGAAAGCCGTCATCGCCGCCCTGCTTCTCCATGACATGACCCATGGTTTGCTGTTTCTTATACACGAGCTCGACAAGCCAGACACGCGCAAGATGGCACCGGCTTTCTGCTCACACTCGCATGACGCAGCCGCTGCTCCAACCTAACATCTCAGCTACTGGATCCATCCCGCGAGCGCCAACATCAGCGTTAACGCAAGCCGGCAATGTGAAGCATCGAGCGCCAACGGACACCCGTCAGCCGGCCTGCGACTGGCAAGAAGCGACGGTACCGGCGCCTCGTCAGCGCGCCAGCGGCCAGGAATGGGCCCGGCGCTCAATACAAGCTCGTGTATGCTCAAACGCAGCTATGTACATACTGACAGACGAGTGTAAACAAGCCGCCCATGTCCATCCATCCTCTATCCATGTCGGATGCAGACGCAGACGCAGACGCAGACGCAGGGACGGACCCAATCCACGCCGCGACTGTGATGCGCGTCTGCCATCTTGCATTGCACCTTGGAAGGGGGGACGAGGCCCTTGGGGCGGCTTGCGTCGAACCTAGTGCCCCCATTTGCCCAGAGCTGCCCACCACGAGTCTCGTGGATCAGCGCTGCCTGCGTCCAGGAAAGATGCAACCAGGTGGTGATGGGTTTGGTGCTAAGGTAGTGCATGCATATTCCCTGCCATGGAATGGAGCAGGCAAACGACGAGCGAGACGGGGGCTGCGGATGGCTGTTCCGGGACGGCTTCTGTTACGGATTGCTGTTGAAACAGATGATGAAGACCGTCTGCTTCCACGAAGTACTAACAATGTCTGATGATAGATGCCACAACCTTACCCAAGCCTACGCGCGCATAAAGTCAAGCGTCTGAGATATGGAACAGCAAGCCGTTGTGTATTGCCTCTAGCCTGGCTCTGGGCTTATCAATGTCTCACACTTCCGGCCTCGAATCTTGGTCGGTCCATCCATGCCCACGCAGCAAACACGCGATGGCTCTCGTCCGCCTCGGCCTCTCACGCGCCCCTCGCGCCACCGCCGGCCGCCCACCACCCCCAATTCCACAAAAAGAGAGGTCATCTGTAGCATGTAAAATGAGATGCGAGGCACGTGTGGCGACTAGCAGCAGATGCGCAGATGGATGGGATGGGATGCAATGGGTGCGGATTGGCTCCGTCCCTCGACGATGTTGCCGCTGCCAGTAGCGAGAAACAAGTTCGAATACCTGCTTCTGGCCCGGTGGAGGGAGGCATGCAGCTGCATCATGCATGTCTCAGGACCGAGGAGCGGGACGGGGGGTCAAGTGAATGGCCTTGATGGCTGCTAAACCACTAGCACTGCGACTTCGTATCGTTGTGATTTCCATCGACGACTTATCAACTTCTTCACTGATACTAGATGGCCAATATGGCATCGCTCGGCGCGAGAGACGAGCGCCGGGCGAAGGAATGGCGTCGCATCATCTGCTGCCACAGTGTTTCAGACGGCTTATAACCTGTCGAGCCAGGCGAATGAGAGCCCGAGAAACCCGCGCCAAACACCAAATCCCTCTTCCAGCCCGCGATGCGATACATGGGGATGATGATGAAAGGTCAGTATCAAGGCAAGGTACAACTAGTCGTACTGTCTGTCCCTCGTACCGGCACCACCTATGTAGCCCTCGCGTGGAAAAGAGCAAAATGGCCTGCGACAAACCGGCAGCCGAGACAGAAGCTTCAACGACGGCTAACATTTGCTGCTGCTGGCCCATCGTCACAATCACACCTCTCGCCCTGCTTGTTTCTCGTGTCTCTCCTCTCTCTGTTTCTCTCTGTCTCCCCTCACACCTCCCCGATGTGGAAGCGTCTGCCCGCTCTGGTGGCCCTGGTCATGCAGGTCCGGAGGCGTACAAAGTCCAGCTGGCCTTTTTTAGCTTCCAAGGTTGTAGGCGAGTCGAGAGGGACGAAAGGTCTCAAGTGCCTGGGCGGTGCAGATGCAGGCTGATGCAGATGCAGGTCCGGCTCGGATACAGCTAGGCCGCTGTATTACTCCACGGCTGATGATGTTTGTTTCGATGGATTTGCTTTGCGTGTAGGGTGATGGTGTCGAATGACGGCGTTAGTCTGCATTTTGAGCACTCAATACTCCGTAGTAGTATGAGTGAGGTTGATGATGGCTTCGTGTAAGTGGTTGATGAGAAGCAATGCTTGAAGGTTCCTTTCTTGGAAGGTTCACGCTCAGAGGGACAGCGTTCGGCACCAACCATCGCGGTATCAAGATATCACAGCCCAGAACGTAGCACTCAGCAATCACCGCCGACATACGAGTATCACTCAACACGTCGCCAATGCAACCGGTGAGTTGTCAGTCGGCACAACGCAGATCGAGGCGACACCGCTCATCCGTCAATCTGTCTGTCTGTATGTCTGTACAATGTCAAATACGCATCGACCATCGGCCCTCGTCAGCAGTCAGCTGTTTGTCTGAGGTGAGGCTGGGCTGAGGCTTGCAGCCGGTCGCCGAGCGCATGATGCAGTGTGCAAGTTTCTGTGTTCCAGGCGTTCTTTTCCTTTATCTGTTGTTTACCTTTATGACTCGAGTTTCAGATTTAATGCTGCGTCGCCCTACTTGACTAGGTGTCATTACATATCAACCAATATACCAAGCCGCAAACAGCTGTCAACCTCTCTTGCACTTGTTGTGTCACGCATCACCAAATTGAGGGATCCATGAGCCGAGGCAGATGGATGGGGGAATTGCTATAAAAAAACATCCGTCCCCAGTCAGTGTGTGCGGTACCTGATGACTCGCGGCAAATGGCCCTGCCGCCGAGGTACCAGGAACGGGCAACGGAAACAGGAACAGGAAATAATGATACAGGGGCGGTCGTGCCCTGGAATTTGCCGCTGTAAGCTCAAAATTCTAAACCCCGGATTCCCAGATCTGCCCGGGCTAATGATAAAGCTGGAGCATTGTTTCTTTAGTGGTAGCCTCGGCCCGCGAGATCTCCAATCCAGCATCACCTTCCCCCCCCCCCCTTTGGCAGGCCATTGAGACGCGAGATGAGATGCCGGAGACGAGGGACTGGCCGTGACGAACCTGCACGAGTTGCCAGTATTGATAGGTTCCTGGCGATCCAGCAGCTGGCGGCTAGTCTTGGCCCAATTGCGCAACTCAGATGACGCTCGAAACGCGCTCGCGATGCAGGGCAGCCCGGCCGCTACTGGCGCCGTATTAGCGGAGATTGAGCGTTTCCACACCAATCTTGGAGAGCAATATGAGCTAATCAAAGGGCATCCTCAATCGAGGCAACTCTGCATCGACCAAGAAATGATGCGCCGTTGCCGATTCATCACCTACCCAGTCATTCCACAGCTGCTGCGGCTACTAGATTCATTCGCACTGCTGAGGTAGTAGTAGTACTCAGTAATAGTAGTAAGGTACCCAAGCCAAGGCAAGGTGTAATCGAATCGCTAACCTTTACGGAGCATCTCGCCGGGAAAGCTCACGGTCCGTCCTGCCTCCCTGGACGTCACCTTTGGACGGGCACAGGTTGTGGCTTGTCTTTCTGCATCCAATCTTTCTCTTCCTTTTCTTCTTCTCTTCCTTTTTCTCCCCTCTTCTTCCTCCTCGTCCCTCGCTTGCTTCCCCCTTCCTCCAACTCCTGGATTTGCTCTCCATCACGCTCCTTTTTATCCTCAATATTCAATTCTTGTTAGACTTCCTTCCTTCTCCCTTTCCCTTCTTTCCGTCGAGACCCGGTCGTCGACCTGCTTCCTCCACGCCCAATCCGAGACGCTGACGAACTCAATGCACATGCAGCCCTGACGAAAGCGAAGCAAAGAATACGATTCGACTCCAGTCTCCATTCTCCAGGCAGCGGCATATCCAACCTGCACAGTCGGCAGCGGTGGCGTCCAGTTCAGCTGCATCCAGCGGCCGCGAGTAGATCCACGTCGACTAAGCTGACCTGTCGTTACAACTTATAACATATCAGTCATTATCGATTTATTGTTATTCGCTGTCGATTTTTATCATTGGCCTTTTGTTCATTCTCTGGACGACGTCTCCTCTCTCTTTGTCTGACTCTAACGCCGACTCCGACGCTCTCTGACGCTCTCTGACGCTGCATCTCGTCTCTCCTCCGACACCCCTGACGAAGAAAAAAAAAAAAAGTTCGGCGCTTCCCAACAAAGCCAGACCAGCGTGCGCCAATTCCGGGGCCCAGCTCTGCACCGTGCCACAGCGTCTCTGTGGATAGCGGGCGAGCTTCAACCGAGTCAAATCTCAACAAGCGCCTTTCCCGCCTCCTATCCCGACCAGATTCGCCTCGTTTTTGCGCAGAACCGGACCCTCTTTTTTCCCTCATAAAGATACGCACATACATGTTGTCGTGTCATCGGGCGGAATTGCTGTGGCTTGGGCATGGGACCACATGCGATATTCAATCCGACGCTCGGCTACACCTTCTCCCAAGAATGGAAAGATGACCCCAAAGTCCACCACACCCCCTCCAGGAACCTCCAAGAATAATCGACACAACCACAGCCACCGCAGTCACAACAACGACGACATGATGAACGGCTACTTTGGCCAGACCGCCTCTTTCCTGACCGCGGCTGCAGGCTACATGCGCCTGCCAGCTTTGGCCTCAACGGTAAGCCCGCGACGCTTCTTTGGCGCATTGCATCCGCAGTTTGGGATTCGCCATGGGCGATTGTGATTGGGAATCCCGATTAGGATCGCCGTCGGGATTGGTGAAGGGAAAGGAAAAATTGGGCTGACCGCGAACCGCGTCTTGCAGGGCATCGTGGCCATCTTAACCTCTCTCCTCTACTTCAAGCAAAAGTGCGTCGAGCTTACGAGCCCAGCCCCCATTCCCCTCTCTCTCCACCATCTGTGCCCATTGCGTTATCCGTCTCATGTCATGCTCGACACTCTCGTCGTTCTGGCCCATGCTTCTCAGCTAACAGACAATCCACCATGGCAGGGCGCTCATCTACCCGTCGCATATGCCGCCCAACTCGCGAACCGACATCCCTCGCCCTACGCAGTTCGGAATCAAGGACTTTGAAGAGCTGGTCATCCCCACCGACGATGGCGAGAAGCTGTCGGCTTACTACATCCGCGGCCCCCGTGGCGGCAAGAACTCGAATATCACAATCCTCATGTTCCACGGAAATGCAGGCAATATCGGTCACCGCCTCCCCATCGCCCGCGTCTTCATCAACATGATTGGCTGCAACGTCTTCATGCTCGAGTATCGAGGCTACGGCGCCTCCACGGGCGAGCCAGACGAGGCCGGCCTGGGAATCGACGCCCAGACGGGCCTCAACTACCTTCGCGAGCGAGCAGAGACGAGGCATCACCGGTTTGTCGTCTACGGCCAGAGCCTCGGTGGAGCCGTCAGTATCAAGCTAGTGGCCAAGAACCAAGACCAAGGCGACATTGCGGGTCTGATACTGGAGAACACTTTTCTCTCCATGCGCAAACTTATTCCTTCCGTTCTCCCACCTGCAAAATACTTCACCCTGCTGTGCCACCAGGTATGGCGCAGCGAATCTCTCTTGCCGTCCATCACCAAGATTCCCATCTTGTTCCTCAGCGGACTGCAAGATGAGATTGTCCCGTAAGTTTCCTTTGCTTTTCTTTCTTTCCATACCTTGCGCCGGGATCATATGATGAACAAATTGCATCACCCACAAAATCTGAACCACTCGTGGCTCTGATTAAAAACACATTTTCCAAACCCTGAATGATTCCGTGGTGTCCTCTAGGGGTACACCACCATTTTTCCTCCTCTTCTCTCTTTCATGGACTCTATCCTGGATATCAGAAACTGACAAGAAAAATCTGTCCAGTCCCAGTCATATGACCCAACTGTACAATGTCTCCACCTCCTTCAGCAAGACGTGGAAGGCCTTTCCAGGGGGCGATCACAACTCGAGCGTGCTGGAAGAGGGTTACTTCGAGGCCATCCAGGAGTTCATAGCCGAGTCCATAAACGACGCCCCCTCCAAGGAGAGCAAGGACGAGCGATAGAACCGCTGTGCTGTACATGTGCCTCGCCGTTTCTGATACGAGCATGCTGCTACGGCAACTGTATCTTTTGCATCACCTGCATCATCGCGGGCTTTCTACAAGACCTTTGGCGTCTGTCTTTTGCATGCAGGCCCCGTATGCGGCCTCTCGGGGTCTGCTGATCCCAGCTCAGCAAATGGGAGCATTTCCCGCCGACTCTAGATAGAAAAACGAGGGCGGCCTCAGACGGGACAGGCCAAGCGGGAGCGGGATGTAGGTCGTCTCTTCCCCAACCCGCGTTTGTCCATGTGACGATGATCGTTTGGAGAGAAGAGTGCGTGTGTGTGTGGAGGGGGGCCATGCGTCGCGTGATCTACTACTGCCTTATACCCTGTCCAAACTGGTTTTTGCATGTGTTTTTTACGCTGAAATATTTTTGATTTCCTGTCTGTTTTTGTGCGTGCGTTTATCCTTCTTTTCTTTTTCCTCATACCCATATATACACGCACATACACACACACACACCTTTGGTCTTCTCCACTAGTCAACATCCATGTTCATGCATCTCATACAACAGGGGACGCGTGTTGCAGGCAATACCTCTTATTGGTCACCATGCCGAGTTACATTTCTTTCTGTTCATTCTATTCGGGATCATCCATCTCTTTATCATTGTTATACATACACAACTTGCATGACGGGGTAAGTATGTAAGGGAGGCACATTATCGAGCACGTTGAAATCTCTGTACGATACGGGGCAAATCACAAGAAGAAAAGTGTACTCGTGGGAATGGGGGGAGAAAAGGTTGGTTGATTAGAGCAGGGTTTGGGCGATCCAAAAGGTCATAAGGAGCTTTCTCGGGAGAAATAGAATATGGTTTTTTCATTGTATAGATGGGGTATGGGGGATATGGAGTACCGCCGCTCGAGAAAAAGGGTAGCTTATACTATTAATGCCATAATATTAATGTCTTGTTCGAAATTTTTCTATTCTTTGTTAAGGTTGATTGTCATGTTTGCTGAAGGTGTTGATAGGTAGGGAGGGGGCAAGACAAGTTTGCCGTGCTTGGGTATATATCATCGCTGTGATGGGTATGATAATAGGAGGTTATATGACCTCTAGCCCAAGCAAGCCTCCATCATACCGTACCCCATCTCCATCTATATATGCTCTACATTCATCCCCCTGATACTCATGAAACGGCAGCTATCACATCAGAACTAGGCGCCCGGCTCAACACTCGACATCCCCATCAAGCTGCGCCGTCCAAGATCTCGCCGGCGTCTCCGCCTTCTTCTTCCTCAGCCCAAGCAGCACCCGCTTCTTGCCAGTAGTACTACTACCACCGCCGCCCGAACCCGACGCCGTCGCCGCCGTCCCCTCCTCCTTCTGCGCCGCCGGCGTGGCGGCCCTTCCAGCGACGGCGCTCCAGCCCGAGGCGTCGCTCCGGCTAATGTCCTCCCTGCGCGAGACGCGCTCGTTGGCGTCGACGTGGCAGAGGAGCATGTTGCCCGCAATGTCCTGCCGCTTGATGGTGGCCTCGAGGCGCGGCTTCATGCCCTGGAGAGCCTGCTCGACGGCGGTGGGGGTGAGGAAGGAAGAGTAGTGCGCCGTGGCGCGGACCAGGACCTCGTCGGAGGGTAAAAAGGCCGTGGTGAAGGAGAGGCCAGACTGGCTTGCGAGGTCGGGCCGGAGGGCCGCCTCGACGTCTTCGATCGTGAGGCCGAACCGCGGCGAGACGAGGAGGAAGGCGTTGAAGGGCTCGACGACGATGGCGGGCGGAGGAGTCGGGGCCCTTGATGCGGCGGCTGCGGCGGCGGCTGCTTCGGCCGCTTGCGCCTCCCGGATCTTGAGGCACTGCGCCAGAGTCTTACTCGGGGCAGAGACAAACTTGGCGCCCTTCCAGACGACGACGTAGCGGTACGGCTCGAGGTCCTCGCTCTTGCTCTCCAGCCCGTAGTCTTCGGCCAGCGCATGCAGAAACTGCCGCTGGTGGCTCGGCATCGGCTTGAACCGCAGTCGCTGCTCTTCGGGGCTCTTGGAGAGGACCCGGAACTCGCGCTCCTGTACCTCGGCCCAGGCGAGGTTCTCCTTGAAGAGCCGAAGGGTGAGGTCTGAGTAGGGGACGTGGTCGTTGGTGTGGGAGGCGGGATCGATGTTGAGGGCGGCGGCGAGTCGTCGGTTTCGCTCTAAGCGGAGGCACTCGTCGTCGCATTTGAGCTCGGGACGAGATGGCGTGGGGTTGGAGCTGCTGGCGAGACACTTGACCTCCTGTTGGCGCTGGCCGCAGGGACACGCGATGATCGCCTTGGCGGTACAAGGAGCTGATTCATTGCAAGCTGTAAGGGTGTTTCGGTTAGGAGCTTGTTTCTTTCAAGTCTTTTTGAATCGTTTGAAAGGAGACTTACGAGTTTGGCCGTGGCAAGGGTTCTGGCAAGCATGGTCACAGAAGAGTTTGGTCTTGCCACACGCCTGGCCGCAGGTCTGACTGGAACTTGCGCTGTCCTCGCACTCGCCTGGCCGGTGGCATAGTTTCCGGCATTTGTGCAATCTAAGACTACCGTGTCAGTACATGTGAAGCCCCCATTTTTAGGTAGAGGAATTTAGAGAAATAGAAAAGCAATACGTACCCGCACTTCAAGGTCTTACCGCAAGGTCGACCACAGTGAGCTGCTTGGAGGTGACAGGGCTGGCTATGGAGCTTTTCCTTGCCGCAAGCACACCACTTGTCCACCAAGAACGGACACTTGGGACAAGAGGTGTCGTCCATGTGGCAGTTGTGCTCAACCGGCGGGTGTCCGCAAGCCGGCCGTCTCGGGCAATTGAACCGACACTCGGGGGCGTGCGTCCCGCAGGGCTGCGGCGGCTGAAGCACCGTGCGGCCGCAGTTGCAGCTGATCTCGTGGAAGATGGCTTCGGGGCAGCTTGCGCATGGTCCGCGGTGGCACATCTGCTGGCAGTTATGGCTGCCGCATTTCAGCGGCCGTCCACACGTCCGGATGCAGATATGTTCGGCCTCGACGACGGAGTCCCCGGGCTGCCGGTTCTTCCTCCTGCTAGCGGCCTGCCTCTCCGCAGCCTTCTTCTCTCCCGGACAGCAGCGCTCGCCACACTTGTGACGGCCGCAACTCAGATTCGCCTGGCATGTCCTCATGCACCACGGCTGTTGGACGTCTCCTTGATGGCAAATGGATGTAGACGTAGTTCGCCCACACCGACATGATATCTCTATCTTCTCCATGCAGAATCCACAATCGCCCGTGTGACACTTGGCTTTGCAGAGGTGGCCACAGGGGAGGACCTTATCACAGACCTTGTCGCAGTGAGGCACCACATCCTGGCAAGATTGCCTGGGAGCTTCCAACAAGTTGTCAAGCGGTGTCTTGCCACACGGGCAATGGGTGACCACGTCGGGAGAATAGGGGCAGTGAGCCGGCTGCTCATCCTGAGCATGGCAGGTTGCAGAGCAGCTGTGAATCCCACAGTCGAACTTCCTCTCGCAAGGATTCAGGCAGCTGAAAGAGCCTTCGAACCATGTACCGTCCTCCACGTTGTAGGAGGGCCGTACCTCATGCCGTTCGTAGCAAGGAATCTTCTTCTCAACCCGACCGCAATAACACTTTGCGTCGACCTTGAGATCACAATCTCCACAGAGTCCGGGATGGCAAGGGTTGGGACAAAAGTGCTCTCCGCAGGGCAAAAGGTCGCCACAGATCTCCTGGCAGCTCCAACCGTTTTCATAGTCGGTCTCTCTGCACAACTTCTGCGAAGTGTTCTTCCCACAGAAGCACGATTGCACGGGACCAACAAGGGTGCACGGCGGGCACGGTCCGGCGTGGCATTGAAGGCCGCAAGGGTGAGGGCACGTTCCTCGAGGCTTCGAGCATGTCTGCCCGCAGGAATGCGGGGGGAGCGATGTGCTTGATGGCCGTGGGTTGATATCCTTTCCGCACCAGCAGTGATAGGAGCCTGGTTCGTCTGACAGCTTGGAATTACATCCCGGGCATCTCCATAGGTTATCCGGCTGCGTTTCTGCTGGCCGGGCAGCCTCCTGCTTCTGTTTCATCTGATTATGGTACCATTTTTTGACACACTTGAGGTGAACAACGGTCCAACAGACGTTGCAGGACCACACGTGAGACTTCCGGAGAACCTCGTCTGTGCATACTGCGCATTCATAGTTTCCGTTGCTGATGTCCTCGTGAATCCTGGTTCCAAGATCCGCCGCCGTTGATTTTGGCAGCTTAACCTCGGGCTGTCTAAGGGCCTGGGATTGCCTGGGATTTCTACACAAGGGACTATCAGTTTTGTAAGCAAACGACGGCATCACCAGGCAACTTACACTCTCGGCAAAACTGGCTGGCCAGGCACAAACTCGGGTGCCTCCGCACTTAATGAAGGAGCTTCTGATGACGCATCCTCGGTATCAACAGTCAGATGGCCGCCGAAGCGTCGCGTTGTCGCCGGCTGGGGAGCTCGAGGGGCGCTATGCCTGGCGCCGCCTCGCTCCCCCCGCGGCCCCCTTCTGCTTCTTCCTCCACGAGCCTGTCTTGAAGGGTTTGAAGGGGGTGTCGAATCCTGCTGAGATGTGGGAGCTGGCGTAGATGCTGAGAGATTCTCTGAGCCGTCGACCTGCGGGGCGGCGTGCCCTGGAGTTCCTTGAGCGGGACCTCCATGATGTCCTCGTCCTCTTCCGCCACGGCCTCTGCCTCTGCGACCTCGTGAAGCCCCTCTCGAGGCTCCTTGAGATTGGTTCTGGGACTGCGAGGCCTCGCCTTCGGGCATGATTTCGGTTGGGCTCCGAGGAGAGCTTGTTCGTGGGTGGTTTGTAATGTGATTGCTGTGGTGCATGAATAGGTGGTAAGGCTGAGTGAAGAAGGCTCTCAACTCGCGGCTCCAACTTGGTGAGCAGTATCGCGCTATCGCAACAAACCAAACAGTAAATGTCAAAGTGTAGTAGCAAAGAGACGGGAAAATGAGAGGGAGAGAAGAGCAGAGGCCTGCGAGCTGTGGCGATGCGCAAAAGGCGGCGCAAGGCTGTTGATATCTATCTCTATTCTAAGATGATGGAATTCCTGGCATTTGCATCACAAAGATTTTAGTGGGTCGCCAGTGCCTTCCAGATCTGGTGTGGCAAAGCGGCAAAGCCTCCCGGAGCAAAAAATAAAAGGCTGCTGACAAAGGCATTGATTGATCTCTGTTTTTCTCTTAGCTGCTGTTCTTTAGAGACATGTGAGTCACTGGATTTGCGGAGAAGTTGAGATTGGCCAATTGAAGCGCTCGCGATGGAAATGAACGGGGAGAAGGGAGATTTCGAAGAGTCATAACAGCACACGATGGAGTCAAGCTTCTGATTGACTGCAGAAAATCAAGCATCGTGTGTTTTCGTCCTGGGTTGACTCAGTTCCAGGGGCAGAGGTTCGTAGGCTGATTGCAGACATGACATCTCCATGTCCTTGTTTGCTTCGTGTTCTGGCTCCAGATCTGCAATATGCCCTGCGGGATATGCATGAATGGGCCAGTGCGTCAGCTGTAGAAACCAGGACAGACCAACAAAGGCTTTTCGAAGCCATACTACATACTAGCAGACTGGGTAATGGCGCATATCAAAAAGTCCGGAATGTACGTGATGATTTGGCTGCCTTTCTTCAAGAAGCCGCTCATCAGCACTCTTACCCACCTTAGACCGCAGCCGTTTCGATAACAGGGGTTGCAGGGGAACAAAAGGGTGTTCTTTGTTAACTTTGCCATTACTCTCATACCTATATTTGCATGATACTGTCGAGTGGCAGGTCAAGAATGCGGTTGAGACAAGCAAGCGGCTTCTGCGTTGGTGCCCGCTCTTACCCGGTAGCTTGATGCGACAGAACATACTCAGATCAGACATCAATGGTTTCAACGATCCTACAAATGTATTCCGCAAGATGTAATGATACATCAAATCACATCTAACAACACGGTGAGTATCTAGGCATCTCTCTTTTCAGATGTCCTTTCAAACCAAGCACCGCCGATACATGTCAAGTGGGCTCTCATCAGATCCGGGTAGTGTCCAAGACCGACTCTTGAGATTCGGGAGACAATGTTTAGGGGCTTCCCTGACAGAGAGAATTTACGCAACAGATCTACCAACACCGAGATGATTATCCAAAACATACTTGTTGCAATAGGGACTTTGGCATGCCCACGTTCCTCCGTGTCTGTGACAAGGAGCCAAGCATCCTACCGCCAATAGGGCAAAGATGAGCCTCCAAAACTCATCCAAGGCACATAGAATAGAGGACTCGGCGTGAGCACAGCTCTGGCGGGTCAGCCCAATCTTACCAATAGCCTCGTTTTTGTCATGATCAGCAGATGGAATAGATGATTGTGGCTTGAGCGGCTGAGAACAAAGTAAGGTAGCATCTAATAAATGGTGGCCGCCTTGGCGCACCCCGGGAGAGCAGCAGCACGGAGGAGTAGTACGTAGTGTGGTATCAGGGAAAACGTGCTACTGCTGCTGCTGCTGCTCCAAATCATACTTGCAGCGTGAACTGGCCTTGTCACTTGGCCGCCTCCTCCGCAATGTGGCGGATATAGACTCTTGTGTTACCCCTTTTGTGTAAAGGACGAGTCCTTGGTGTGGTGAGAGTGCCTACGTGAGCTTGACCACCTGCTCCTCGATATGCAGGGTTCAACATCACATCACTCCTTGTGACGAACGCCATGAATGAGCTTTTCAATAGACAATCTCGGCAGCTACGCCACAAAACCCCCCTTTCATGACCTCGAAACCAAACACCCATTCACTTCTGACCACGATGGCTGGCAGTACGTAATGCCATTGCTTGATATCTCGTAGTAGTTGGTTCTAACACGGCACTTTAGACGCAGGGAGGCCAAAGGGCGTCTGCAGAGCCTCGCTACACATAATCTGCATAAGCCACTGCAGCGCGACCCCAGTGGAAGCAGCCCTCTTGGAAAGTTGACGACGATTTGGATTCGCCGTCGCTCCCCTGCTCGTCACACGCTGGGTGCAACTAAGCATATCTGCAGTTCGTATCGAACAACGCTGGTCCTTCCTCATTACCACACGGGATCATCCTCGAAGCGGACATCATCAAGCCCAAAGTGGTGCTGCCTGGGGTTCAACAAGAGGAATCGGCCCCTCTCCAAGGCAGCGATAACTGATTGCGCAGCTGCATGTACGTGCATGTTGTTCTTCAAGCAGCACATGCAAAAGATAACATAGACCAGGGGGAGGTTAGCAAGGCTTTTCAGATTGCATTGCCGATATGTATAGATAGTTCGTAAAGCCATTCAACCGCGGCTGAATGTCTCCATTGATTCGATTCCGCGTGGATAGTACATACATAGTAAAAGATCGGCTGGGATCCTCCGATAGTGGGAGGATTTGACGGGATGCAGTTGGGGGCCTGGCGCAGTCTATTGGCCCTCATGGTGGTGTGTGTCCCCAAACGGCCTGGGCAAGGCAGTCCGTGTGTAGTAGTTGTATGTACGAAGTACGAGGTACGACCGCCGCTGAATCGCCTCTGCCGATACGAGATGCAGCCTGGGCGCCATGCATGAGCGAGAGTGACTCGAGAAGAAGCCAATGGCCCAAGGCGGAACAGCTCTGTTGCCCCTTGTCATCACCGGATACTAGTCCAACTTCTTTGAGGCTTGTACGTGAATGAAACAAATGGGAGTCAAGGGTCCGCTCTGTCGACACCCAAAGCCAGTATTCCACGTGCGAGCATGTCTCTTGTATGGACTGCCGTGAGACAGCATGAGCAGATGTCTTCTGGCAGACCCCGGCGCCTCGGATGATGGGCTTCATGGATACTCCGTATATATTACTACTACCTGTAATTGGACGCAATTCTCGCATCAACGGATGGAAGCGATGGTGACACAAGCAGCGTCATTGAGTTGGCCTTGCATGAGATAGGCTACTCGTCGTAGTTCGTACGAGAGGGTGGATTCCATTCCTGCACTTCGTATGTCGAATCTGCAGTTGAATGCACAAAGGGAGAAAGAAAAAAAAAAAAAAGAGCGAAGTGCAATGATTGCACCACCGTCTTTGTGCTTCCGGTGGGCGGGGCGGGATTCATGCAAGAGGGCATCCAAAGGTGGTGGCAAGGGGGGGGGGGGGGAGCCGCTGAGCAGTTGAATTGTGACGTCTCTGATTTTCTTGCTTCTGTTGTCTTTTTACAGACTTTCAGTTTTGCCCTTCTCCCCAATCTGTCCTGTTCATATGCTTTCCTGCCCCTGGCAGAACTAGTTTGAGCCGGTGCTTACGCTCTGGCGATAAACTTTTGTGCCTTTTCTTGTAAGACCAAAATGTCCGTAGTCAAAGAATGTATACACATGGCATCATCCCGCCAAGACGGTGTGGAAAGTGTTTTTGTCCACAAATAAGCACTTGGCAAGCGTCTGTCGATAGGTCTGCAGATTGGATGGGGAGCGTCTACTTGGGGTTTGGCTTGGGAGAAGACCAGCAAGCTGGACGCTTTCTCAATTTGGTGCATACATAGGACCACTGCTATTGCTTTCAAAGTCCGTCTTGACGAGCGTGGGATTCCCTGCCGACCAACCAAAGCAGCAGAATCAAGGTACGAGGTAGTATGTAGGCATACATGTAGGCAGTAGTAACACGGAATATTAGCAGCGTGTGTGTGTGGCTGGCCCTGCTGCGTTGGATGGTCAGTCGGCTGACAGGAGCCGATGAGACGGAAATAGAAAATGCCCATTGATGCCGAGATAGCTTTGCCTGTAGCTAGGTACTGTAGTATCAATATTTGAGCTGTGTACCAATTATTTGTAGGGTTCTGTGAGAGTACAATACTTGGTAGGAACAGCAGCAGAGGAGAGTAAAATCGACACAATGGCCGCGATGCAAGGGGGAGAATAGAGCAAAGAACTACGTACTACTAGTATAAGCAACAAGAGAAGGAAAACAACAAACAGACTCATCACCAAGATGCTGCCATGTTTCAGGTCACTCCAAAACTCTGCCCTCCCTCCCTGTCAGCCCCGATTGAAGTCTGCGTATCTGTTCCGCAACAACTAACAGATGGCGTCGTCTTAGCTGCCGACGCCAGTGGAAAGTCATCGCGCCCGGCCTTTCATCCGCCCAGCAAGCGGCCCTTTTTTGCTTTTTACACTGGCCTCTTTTCTCGTCTCGTGCCTTAGTTCAGCCTGAAGAGGGAAATGTGCCTGAGCCACCTCAGCTTCGGCCAATCCCCTCAGCTGGCTAGCGGCGAAGTGTCTTATCATGCATGTGGGCAGCCTCCAGGGGATCGAAATGCAGGTAGAGAGAGCGTAGAAAAGTTGCCATTAAATCAAAACAAACTCTCAAAAGTCCCGCTGTTCACTGCCATCGGTGTGCCTCGTGCAAAGTCAAATATAATGCATCTGATCTCGTCGATGCCTGTGCAACGTACACATCGGCCTCTGGGGGTGATCAAGCCTCAAAGCCATGGCTCAAACCGGGCTGTCGGCTGGACATGGCTTGGGGTTCCGACCTGGAGATGCCCACAGAGATCCAGGCGTGACCAGACTAGGATCTAAGCCTACCTTAAAACTTTGATTCGCCTCCTTGTGCCGTGTCAATAGTACGAGTTACAGGCCGTTTTCGTGTGGATATTGCGAGGCCGCTGTGGCGTCCAGCACCTGAGGCATTCGAGGTCATTCGCAGTCTTCAGCCTCACGAGAAAGCAATAATCGTGGCCTAATATTATCCCGGGGGAGACAACAAGAAGCAGAGACGCGAGATTTCGCATGTACCAGCACAGGCAGAGGCACTCATCTTGTACAGGCGTCATTGGACACAGTACCTTACTTGGACAGACAGGCAAACGGTTCGAAGCCTTTCCGATGGCCACACACACAAGACTTACACAACAGGTAAGCCATCAATGGGCGGATGATCACATAGTCGTACCACCAGGGCCTTCAGCTGTACGCAATTGGCCGGTTCTGGCACCGCTTGCTTCCCTTCCCTTGTGGGCAGAACGCCTGTCAAGTTTAGGCATCATCAAGGAAGAGGCGATGCCCAGCGGTCTGGTTGACGCACGATGAAGGCACATGCAGACACGATGCCTGTAACTTCCCAGGTTGGTACAAAGCAGCCCTCGAGTTGGTGGAAGTGAAGCTGTGAGTGCTGCTAGTTGTGCATGTACGAGGATGATGCTGGCAGTATTGGTCAGAACTACTGCTGGTACCATCGGAATGATGGATCTGGAATTAACCAAAACCAACAGTAGAGTACATGTACTATTACTACAACCAGGATGAAGAGGAGGGTTCGGAATCTCGAGCCGCGCCTCGTATTATTTCTGGCGCCAAGTCGATGCGCTGTACTCTGTACCTCGAGCTAATAACGGAACCTCTCGCACCGGAGATCCTCCTCCCACCTACATACATACGATACAGTACCATCATCCAGCTCCCCCACCACCCGCAGCCTCGACAGACCCTCTGCTGCGGTTTATCGGCACGCTTTGGCTGTTTGCTGGCCGTTGCGGGGGTCATTGTTCAATTCGCTGCGGCATCCGACAGATTCAAGACAAGACCTGCTGGAGAAGCCTCGCAGAACGTCCAGGACGCCGCCTCGTGACCGCCACCTTCTGCTCGTCTCCCTGCTTCGGCTGGCTGCAGGCTGGACCGATGGCTCGCCGTCGACGAGGACCAGAGGCACAAGCTGATGCCGATATTAATTGGTGCCCTGGCCGAGGCTGCATCCAAGTCTCTGCTGCTGCTGGACGCCGGCTGACCGACCCTGGACCTTCGCGACGGGGGGTGTGGCTCTCGCCTGCATAGGCGCCCTGCTGGATGGCCTCTGATTCCGATTCTGCGTGGATGGATGGACTAGCAACTGATTCCCCTGCAACCGCAGCTGTGTGGGTGGCCCCCATGTCCCCTGCGCGCGCTCTTCTCTCTTCCATTGCGGTATGGCATGGCATGATGGACAATGGCCCAGCTCGCCGCTCAGGTCCAACCTCCGGACGAGTCTGGATCCCAGCCGTGGCAGCATGCAAAAGTCGTGCCAAGTCTCCGGCCTGCCGCCTCAGCCCCGTTAGCCGGTCCTGTTCCTGGGCTGCCATCGCGGCGGCTTCTCGACGCACCGAGTACAAGAAGCTGGGCCTTGACCGCGGCAATTGGACGAGGCCGTTCCTGTCTTCTCTCTCTCTCTCTCGTTCAACCCTGGGGCCCGCGCGTTTGGCTTAGAGGATCGCCGGCATCACACCGTCGCTCGTTTCCTTCGCTGCTCCTTGCCATTGGCGAGAGCCACATCCCGCAACCATGAAGCCCTCTCCGGCGGCTTCCTTGCTATCCGTATCTCTGCTATCTCTGACGTCGTGTCACGCCCAGCTGCTCCAGAAGCGCGCTCTCGCCGCGCCGCCCTCACTGGACAATGGCTGGACATATCAAGGATGCTTCATGTATGGCGTCTTCCTTCCCCCTCTTGGCAAACCTTAGCTTGCATGCATGGGCTGACTGGAGCAATACTGGTTTGCAGCGATGTTGGACGAACAATTGGCGCAGCGTCCATCACGGATGATGACATGACAAACCAGGAGTGCGCTGATTATTGCTTTGAGCATGACTTCCCATACGCCGGAACAGAGTATTACACTCAATGCTACTGCGGCTCCAGCCTGGCGACTGGAGGTGTAAACACCACTGCCACGGACTGCAGCACTCCATGCGGCGGCAACTCAACCGAGGCGTGTGGTGGCCCTAATCGTCTTACTCTGTATAAGACAACTCAAATCACAGGTCCTCAGGTCAACCCGGGCCCCGACGGATGGGCGTCCAAGGGATGCTATTCGTAAGTTTGCGAGCCCTAAACATGCAGCTAGCCCTTCAAGACACTCATGCAGTCTTGCTAACACATGCTGGCAGCGAGGGCACCACCGGCCGCGCTCTGACGTTTGGCTATAACGGAGTTCCCAGTGCCCAGATGACGGTAGCGGGCTGCACAGCAGGGTGCAAGGCTGCTGGATATACCTTTGCCGGCGTCGAGTATGGCGGAGAGTGCTGTGAGTGGCCTGATTCCATTATCATGCGGACCGTGTCCTGTGTGACATGGCGTGTGGTTTTCGTTCCTCTTCTGCCTTTCCTCTTATCGAGTAATGGACCACTAATCATTCATTCCGACGTGCAGACTGCGGCAAGTCAATCTCTAATGGCGCGTTACCGGCGACAAGCGGCTGCACAATGACTTGCAACGGCAACAGTACCGAGTACTGCGGAGGTCCCGGCCACCTCAACATTTACAGCTTCGGCACCACCAGGTAAGCAAAGCAAGACGCAAGGCGATGAAAGAAGCTAGGACGGCGGTGATCCCTCGTATTGCGGTCATGCTAACACTGCTTGTGCAGCTCTGCGACTGGCACTGGCACTGGCACCTCCTCTGCAGTTCAGCCCGCTCAAACAGGCGCCTGTCCTGGCCAGCCCGCTCTGGTGGGCAAATACAACTGGTATGGTTGCTATACCGAAGGAACAAATGGGCGGGCTCTCAGTTCCAAGACGTACGCCGATGACGACATGACCCTGCAGAGCTGTGCGACCTTCTGCGCTGGTTTCACGTACTTTGGCGTCGAGTACAGCCGAGAGTGCTACTGCGGCAACTCCTTTGGCACCGGGTCCAAGCTTACTGCCGCATCCGACTGCAGCATGACTTGCAGTGGTGAGGACTGCGACTTCTGTGGTGCCGGCAACCGCCTCTCTGTCTACTCGATCAACGCCCCGGGCTCGGGTACGGGTACCTCGTCTGGGCCCTCCGGCCCTCCCTCCACTACCTCGGCGGCTCCGCCGCAGGGAACAGGCTTTCCGCAGGGATGGCAGGCGTATGGGTGCTGGGTGGACGGCGCCAATGGCCGCATTCTTAATACCCAGCTCCCCGACGACGATGACCTGACCCTCGAGTCCTGCGTGCAGTCCTGCTCCTCCCAAGGATACACCATTGCTGGTGCCGAGTACTCTAAGCAGTGCTTCTGCGGTAACAACATTGTCAACGGTGGTGCCAAAGCTGCCAACCAGGCCGACTGCAATACCCCCTGCGCCGGTGACGCCTCCGAGACTTGCGGTGGTGGCGGCAGGATGAGCATCATTTCAAAGGGAGCCCCGGCCATCGAGGCCCCTCCGGGCCCTCTCCCCACGGTTGGCAACTGGACCTACCAGGGCTGCTACGAGGACAACGTCAACCAGGAGCGCACCTTCTTCTGGCAGAACATCTTCGCCAACACCATGACCCCTGAGCAGTGTCTGAACCAGTGCGGCGAGTTTGGCTACATGGCCGCCGGCCTGGAGTATGGCCAGGAGTGCTACTGCGGTGACCCGGAGAACATCAAGACCGCCGGTGCTACCAAGAGGCCCGAGAGCGAATGCAACGTCCCCTGCGCGGGTAACGCCAGTGCCATCTGCGGTGGTGGCTCTCGCCTCAGCACGTACTTTTGGACCGGAACGCCCTTTTACTCATGGGACTTCCCAGCTGCTGGCACCGCCGCGGCTGGGTCCTATGAGCAGCTCATCGGCGGTGTCTGCATCCCCTTGATGACGACTCAGTCCATCACCGGCAAGGTCACCTTCCTTGAGAAATGGGGCACTGGTGAGGCCAACTCCACCGGTGCTTATGAGCTCGACCTGTCCCTCGTCAACCAGTACCAGCTTGCCTGGCGCGAGATGCATGTCAAGACCGACATCTTCTGTGCCGGTGGTGTCACCCTCCCCGACAAGGCCGGCCGACAACTTACCGTCGGAGGATGGTCCGGCGATTCCACCTATGGTGTCCGCCTGTATACCCCTGACGGCAAAGCCGGCGTCAACGGCACCAACGACTGGGAGGAGAACGTCGACATCCTGAAGCTCCAGAACGGCCGCTGGTACCCCACTGCCATGAACATGGCCAACGGCTCCGTGCTCGTCATTGGAGGCGAGACTGGCTCCAACAGCGCTGCTGTCCCGACCCTTGAGATTCTCCCCTACACCGGCACCGCGCCGCTCTACATGGAGTGGCTCGAGCGTACCGACCCGAACAACCTGTACCCCTTCTGCACCGTCCTGCCCTCTGGCGGTATCTTCGTCGCTTATTGGAACGAGGCTCGCATCTTGGATGAGAACACCTTTGCCACCATCAAGACGCTGCCCAACATGCCCGGCTCCGTCAATGATCCTCTGGGCGGAAGAACATACCCCCTCGAGGGAACAGCCGTCTTGTTGCCTATGCATGCCCCCTTCACCGAGCCTCTCAATGTCCTCATCTGCGGTGGTTCCAGCGACGGTGCCGCCAATGCCATTGATAACTGCGTGAGCACGTACCCCGATGCTGATGAGCCGACCTGGACCATTGAGCGCATGCCTTCTCAAAGGGTCATGCCTTGCATCGCTCCTCTGCCCGACGGCACTTACATCATCATGAACGGAGCTCACCACGGTGTTGCTGGATTCGGTCTTGCCACGAGCCCCAACCTGAATGCCCTTCTCTACGACCCCGCGAAGCCCCTCGGCTACCGCATCACCGTCATGGCAAACACCACCGTCGCTCGTCTGTACCACTCCGAGGCCATTACGCTGCTGGACGGCCGCGTGCTTGTCTCCGGCTCTGACCCGCAGGACGACGTTCACCCTGAGGAGTACCGCGTCGAGAGCTTTACGCCGCCTTACCTGAAGAGCGGCAAGCCTCGCCCCTCGTTCACGGTCACCAACAAGGACTGGGACTACGGCGAGTCGATTACCGTCACGCTCGGCGGCCCTGCTCAGAACGGCGCCATCAAGGCTTCTTTGCTAGGCGCCGTGACCAGCACCCACGGCAACTCGATGGGAGCACGCACGCTTTTCCCTGCCATCAGCTGCGCTGGCACCACTTGCACCATTACCTCACCTCCTTCCAAGTACATTGCTCCTCCTGGTTGGTACCAGCTATACATTTTGGATGGAGGCATTCCCGCCGTAGGTGTCTACGTCCGCATCGGCGGTGACCCCGCGCAAATCGGTAACTGGCCCAAGGGCACTGGCTTCACCACACCGGGTGTTTGATTCATTTCATTTTTGGAGCTGATCGTTTCCAAGTCTCTGTTTTAGTAGGATGATGTTTCCTTGAGTACTCTTGATTTGTAAACACCTAGCGAAAGGAAGTGAATACGGCTCGTCTCGATGTCAGGCAAATCCCAGGGTTAATAGATTTGGGAAATTGGGAAACGGGTCAAAGAGACACCATGAAATAATACCCTCAATGCATTCAGTCTGTTATGCACATTTACGTTCCGCAATGACTTTTGCCTGAATATCGCAAATCACATGCGTCTAATTGGTTCCTATATCTCGTGCCTGAACTGCGGCCGCATTATTGCTGCCGCTAGTACATGTATGATGGGCTCACTTCCTCGATGCCTACCGTATGTTTATCGTTCCGCTGATAATTGAGTGACCTAATTGTAGTGATAAGGCCAAACATGCACGGAATATTATCAAAGGGATACATGATCGTGAGTAAACGCAGCATTGAGGATAACTTCCAACGTTCTTTCAGTCAAGCGTACCTTGTACTTGATGTGCCGTCCCTGGCCAAGCACGTGACCCCCATCCCGTATGTTCATCGTTCGGCCTCCAAAATTCCGGCCGACAAGGATGCAAAATCAACGCCGCTGACAATACCTACCAAACCAAACAAAACGGCCGGACTTTTTTCTTTTCTCGCGCACTTCCATTTCCCAGCGCGATAATAGTTCACGGAGGCATTTGCGCGTTCCTTCTTCGGCATCGAAACCACATCGTCTCGTTTCACCCCATCGTTCTCCGTCAAAATGGCTGCGCTCGCAAAGGCCATCAACGCCAAGATCCGGTCCAACCCGATGGTGAGCTATGTGTTCACGACTCGTACGTTTGAAAAAGCCCCCTACCTTTACCTATCCCGATAACATCGGAGTGTAAGAAAGAGGAGGGAAAAGCTTGGGGATGTTTGGCCTCTGAGGAAAGCTTTTGTGTTTGCTGGACACAAGTCTTGCACCGAATGATTTCTCGGTCACTGCTTCTCACCGGAGAACTCCAGGCGAAAACATCTTACAAATGCCTCCGCGACCCAACGGAAGCCCAGTTAACTGACCAATACAACTCGCGCCTTTAGACTTCTGGGGCCCCGTCTCGAACTTTGGAATCCCCATTGCTGCCGTCCTGGACACACAGAAGAGCCCTGATCTGTAAGAAGCGCAAAACCCCCCTGTCTCCGCCGATACCGGCCGCCTTTGCTTACCGTGTGCCTTGTATTATAGCATCTCCGGACAGATGACCGCCGCCCTGTGCGTCTACTCTGCGACCTTTATGCGATACGCCCTCGCCGTCTCCCCCAAGAACTACCTCCTGTTCGGATGCCACGTCGTCAACGAGGCCGCCCAGCTGACCCAGGGCTACCGCTACCTGTCATGGCACCACTGGGGCGGAAAGGAGAAGGCGGCGCTGGACGCGGGCGTCGAGGCTGGCAAGGAGTCGGCTCCCATAACCAAATAAATCCAATCGATGTCGAAGGGGATAAGGGATAGGGGTGGCTGCTGGGCAAATGGGACCAAAAATCACGCGACAGTAGGAGGAGAAGCAGGGCGGGAGAGAGAGAGGTGCTATTTGTGAAAGAGCTAATTTGAGGAGGCTGTATTTTGAGACGAGGGGTTCTTTTCCAGTGACTTATAGACTCTTGTTTGTTGTGCTTATGGGTTCTAACCCGTTGGGTCAAATGCCTGTATCTCAGGATTACTTTGTGGAAGAGGTGCCGGAGGCTCGAGGCAGCTGGGGAAATAGCAGCGTGGGCAATGGAGTTGGATCGAAGGCCTGAATCATCGTCCTCTTTGCATAGACACCCGGTCCGTCTTGTACTTCCGGGTAACGACTTTATCAGGAGCGTATAATAGCGTGGATCTCAGTCATGTCACCTGTACTTCTCCTAGACGGGGTTGGATGATGCGTGGTGGACACTGGTGGACGGGAGGATGTAGATACGCGTAGAAGCCACCAAGCGCGTCAATGACATACGGAAGAGAAAATATATCCTTTGGTCTGTCTCCTGAAGATGTGTTCTATACCAATACGACTAGGAAAGAAAAGAGATCTTAAGAAGCTTTGCGTCATGTGGGCCGATTTCCAGGTACGTGACGAGAGAGAAACTTAAGTGGCTTTTTCACGACGGGGCATCTGTTTTCTGGAAAGGTAGATGGAAGAACGAGGGGATCCAGGAACGAGCAGATGCTAGTACCTACTACAAACCTACAGCCTGAAGCCCTATTACATGAAGAAAACGTAAGTGCCTGCAAACTTGTCAACGCTGTAGCTAGAGCTAGAGCCCTCCAGATCGCTGGTGGGCTGCCCGAGGCTATCCTTTTCTAGCCGGTGTCGAAAAGTTGGCCGAGATCGATGTCGGCAACTTGAGTCGTTTTGATGTCATAGGAAAGCATTGACAAATGTGTTCGATGATGACTGTTTTGTGTGAACAGATATAGGTGGGTGGGTGTTTGATGCTAAGACATGCTTGAGCATGGGCATGGATGAATCACGGCTCCAAGGGACGAGCAAAAACACCAAATCGAATTGACACAGAGCAGATAGTAGTTCCAACTTATCCAATGAAGTGACGGCATCCATATTCAATCAAGTATGTTCTAACAATTACAACTGCCTTTAGTCCCGGCTGCTATCTGAACTCCAGGGCCAATCACACATCCGACGTCGGAGAAAGCTCGCCCTCCTACAGCCGTTGATACAGCAGAAGGCCAGGAAAAAAAAAAGTCTCAACTCCATCCCAAGAGTGGCTAAGTTCAAGACGCCGGGCGTAACGATGCTAAAGATGCAACGTCAAGGCCAAGGCCAGACAAGGAGCCACCAACTAGATCGGCACTACGACGTTTAGATGGACGTCCAGAGGGGGAAAAAGAAAAATCTTCATTAGAACTTGAGCTGTTGACGGGAGTTGTTGGTTGGCTTGCTGATCGACCATATAGCCGAATGGACGAGAGTAGCCGCCATCTGGGCCTCTCTATATTGCCTTTGGCGTCTAGATAGACAGACTACCTTGGATAAGTGGTCAAGTCGAATGCTGGAATTGAGCGAAGACTCGGGTTCACGCGCCGAGGTCGAACTACTGGGTAGGCGGGCAGCTCATTCGCCAGCCCAGGTTGGGGGTTCCCTTTCCAGATCTCGGGTCGCATCTCACGTTCCCAACTTGACGCACGGAGTACATCTGCAAGATGTGCCGCCACGGCAAGGGGAACCACAGTTCAACTTATCTCAGATCGGCCCCGACGACTAAAATCTGCTGCTAGTAATGAGGTAACATCTCAAGTGGTAATAACGCGTACTATTACGGTCTAATGCTGTGCCAGGGTTCACGGGATTCCCTCGGGCCGGCGATACGATAATCTATTACGTTACGGGTGAAGTTGCACTTCCCCCGAGCCGAGAAGGGGAGAAAGAAGCATCTTGTTCAAGGGGATATTGCTGGGCAACGGATGATGATCATGCAGAGATGCGAAAACTGGTCGGGCTGGACGAAATCAAGTCGCGTCGACTTTTCCCGAGTTCATCCAGGTGATTCGCCATGAATGCCTTCATCAGCCGCTTCTATGCGAGCTTTCAGGCTCTTGAGAATAGGGGGAACTGTCATGTAGCACGGATATATCCTCTGATCCTCGGTAATGGCATTGTAGACAGATGATGCATGCGTGAAGAGGGGTTCGCATTGACGGAGAAAAAACGGCAGAACCGGGATTGGCGAGAAATGACAACCGGGCAGTGGGCGTGAATCTGATGCGTTGCGTTGCGGCGTACATGAGATGGGCATGCAGGACGAGACAGCGATCCCAGATCCAGACACGTTACGTATATTGGTGATGAGTGGGAGACAGCGGCAGGCACTTCTAGCTCCGGAAAAGGCTCATCTCGATGGGTGACAGAGTTCTCCGCAGTCGCATCTGGGACCCTTCATGATCTGGCTCAATCTTCCAGCACCGGAGCTTGGTGGATACGCATCTCCCAAGAACGTGGTGCTAGCATCTTGCTTTGGCAGGACAAGTGCCTCCGAGAGAAGGGGTAACATGAGCATGAGCACCGCTAGGCCGGCTCGACACTAAACCCAGTGGCTACGAGGCGTTAAAATAGGCCAGTTACTAGCTGGAGGGCAGTGGGAAGAAAAGGCATGGAGGGCATCCCGCTCTCTTGGGAGGAAGCTTAATATAACAGCGCCAAACTTGTAAGAGGCTGCGTTATCCCGGGCCTGCCATTGGCCGGCGGCGAGGGCCCCCCCCGCCTGTTTGAGCTGGGAATCGACGAGACTAGACGGTTGATGCATGGCAGAACGATGAGGCTTGGCCCGCAGAGTTAGCGGCGAGTTGGTTGGAATCTGGTGTGTAATGGGAATGACTCTTGGGTTTTTGGGGGCGGGATCTTGCTTGTGGTTGACGGCGGCACAGTTGATAAGATGGCAGTGCGTCATGGCATGTGGTTGGAGAGGCAGAGAAACGACGGCAGAAAGAAGAGAAAAAAGTGTCTTGAAGGCAAGTACGGAGTAGGTTGAGGTTAGTACTTAGTAGTAGGCCAAAGTTGGACGGATATCAAGAAAGAGAGACATTTTCAGCCCCCAAGTCCCCCAAGTCCCCTCTTCCTGCTCGCGGCCAAGCCTGCGGCCACTGGTCAAACACCAAAGCCCAAGACAAGGACTCCTGCTGTCTCACCGACGCAGCAACGTGGACTACTAGGTAGATGGATGCATCAGCTGACGAGCAGCCGGCAGAGGCTGAGACAAGATGATCTCTCCCACTTCCAGATCCAACCGCATCTTGCCTGTAGCGTTGCGTTCTGTTGCTTAACTGCTGCCACTACCGAGGATGTCGTGTCGTGGCGTCCCATTTTGGTCGACGCCGTAGCCGCCTATATTCAGCATTCCTGCAACCCCTCTATTGCAGGTTGCCCCTATTCCTGCCTCATGCGCGTCCTCCTTGATGTCATGTACAGGGACATCATCTTGCTTGGCTCGGGCATAAGGTAGCACATGCAGGCAC